CATCCCGAAAGGGGTGGCCAGCCCTCAGAGACGCTGACTGGATTCCGATAGGAACACCACCAAAAGCCAGCCCACAGCTCTCCTGCCGAGAAAGGAGAGACCTGTGCCCGTCAAACTCGGGGCAGCCTTGGAATGTGGAGTTTTTTGTAGTTTCCTTTGTCAGGGTTTTCCATCACCCCCTTCTTTGTTCCAATTTTGTGTCCATGACCTCATTCCATGACACCAGGGAAGTTGTGCTTGCGCACCGTCCTCCCTGTTCATCTGGAGCCAGGATGCAAGGAAGGCAGGAGAGGTTTCTCTGAGTGGAGCCAAGCTTGCAGAGCAGGGAGTGATGGAAGCTACCAAGAATGCCTGACATTGGTGTCGGTCTTCTCTTGTCAGGAATGATGGATGCTCACACACACACACACACGCACCCTCACTCTCACACTTGCACACACATCCACACACACAGGAAATGATTGGTTTGTCAAAACTCACTGTAGTACATAAAGCTTGCACTCTGCGTCCTATATCTAGCAGCATGGGGTACGTTTGGCAGTTCACCCCATTAGGGGGTAAATAATTTATGACCATTCATCTGTTTTTATGAATTTTTTTATCTAGACAATAATTGTAAATAAAGAACTCACCGTCTCTGTTCATTTAATACTATGCAATGGTTATGCTTTCAATTGCTGACTCTTCGTACTCCCGCAGTGTGGTTCTGAAATGTCTGTGGTTTGAAAAAAGAAAGGCAAAAACCAACATCAGACAGAACACAGTAAATATATACTCTGTAATGTATACTTTTTTCTGGTTTGGGACTGCACCATCCACTTAGCTTCTTTTCATTATTCTGGACAAGGGCTCCAGGAGAAGGCAGCAGATTCCGTTCTGGGGTCTAAGCTCACCAACTTAGCCCCCCACAACAGATGAGGGAAGAGCAGGGGCCCATTCAGTGACCTCCAGGGCTGTAGAGTCACCTGCCTTTAAGGTGGGGGGGAGGAAACTGAGGTGTTTCATTCCTGCAACTCAAGCAGTGCTTTCCCTGACCCACAAGCAGCCTCGATTGCTCCCACCAGCCCCTCCCCATGGCCCCTTGCCCCCTTGTCCCACCCAGAGCATAGAGATGACAAGGGGAGGCTGCCCTGCTGCTGACACGAGACTCATGACAATGCCTGCAATGGGGCAGAACCCCTGGACCTATCTCATCCTGGGTATCCCAGTTACTCAACAGCCACACTTTTTCCCAACCGTGTTGAGATGCCACCTTTACCACAGACTGACAGATAAACATGGGTCTATTTCTGGAATTTCTCTTGTGTTCCCTTATCTGGGTGTCTCATGTGGCACCAGCCACATGGTTTTAATTATTATCACTTTATATAATTTTTTTAATATGTGGTGGGACAAGTCCCCTTCACTCTTTTTTTTTTTTTACAAAAAATTTCCAAAATTTCCTGGTTATTCTCTCACATCTATTCTTCCAAGTAAACTTTAAAATTTTGCCAAGTCCTCCACCTGTGCCCTCCTCCCACCCCAAATACCAGCCCTGTCATTCTGTGTATAAACCCCTTCCCGCCACTGTAAGTGCTGTCCACTCAGGCTCCCTAAGTAAGGGGGCCTGTGAGGAGAGACCAAAGGGCGTCCTGAATCTTGAGGGAAGCCCAGTGTTCCTCCCATCGTCTCAGCTGTCCCCTAAGCCAGGGCGTCATCAGAGAGGCCACCAAGCCACCACCCAATCTCAGTTTGGGACCCAAAGTCACCCACCTTGGTTGTGCTTGGGTGCTCCCTCTATCTGCCCTGGTCCAGACAAGAAAGAGGGGTCTCCCCCAGACCCTGAGCTACCAGAACACAGGGCCCGGTTGCCCGTATTCCTAATTCTCCTCCTGGAGAAATACTTATTCCTGCCTCCCTTCCCTGAGCTGCTTCTCTGTGGGGGGAGGGGGTCAGTTCTTGCTCTTCATTCAGAGTCTTCAGCAGTTGGGTGCGAGGCCGTCTGGGGTGCAGCGATTCCCTGCCTGGCCTTTCTCACCATCCTGTCTCCCCTACCCTTTCTTGTTCCACTTACAGGAGGCTGTCACCCCGCGGCACTATGGCATGCCTCCTGCCCAAACCTCTCCCCACACTGTCTGAGATCCCACCATCGGAAGATCAGGGCAGGGGTGCATTTCTTGAATGCTTTTGGGTCTTGCAGAGCCAAGGCCTAAATAAGACAACAGCAGAAAATCCCCAAGTCTTCTAAGTTCCAAAGCAAGCTCTCCTGACGTTGACATAGAGATCCCACCCACCCGAGTTGGGGGAGGGCATCCCAGGCCCTGGGCATCAGCCATCACCCCCTCCACCAAAAACAAGAGATTTGAGGCTGCTTTGGGACCGCCCTTCTCACCCCTCTGAGTCTGTTTTGTAATGCCTGTGGTGCTCTCCCTCCGGACCTTTCCTCTCGGGGGTCGCCACACTTTGCTAACTCTTGTGTGCACATATTTTATAACAGAGTAGCAAGAAAATGGTGCCGCCTCCAGCTTCCACAAGCTGCCCAGGCTCTGGGGGGCTCTGGGACAATCGGGGCTGGGAAGTGACTGTGCTCTTATTATACACTATTTCTCTGTATCTCTGGCTTGTGCTCTTTGTAATTAATGGGATTTGTCTGCCTTTTCAACACTATACTGAGCAATAACAATAAATGCACACATGGAAACACAGACACGGTACACATCACAAGGCCTTTTTCCACAGGACAGCTGGGTCCCCATCCTCCGTGGATTTGAACTTCAAGGGAAACAGTCCCTGGGAGGGAAAAGCACTTTGCCCAAGGGTGCACAGCTCAGTGGGCAGTCTCTCTCCTTCCACCAAGACCCACCTTTTGAACACCCTATGATTTGAGGGACGCACGTTTAACTTGCTGTGAGTCGTTAACCTTTCAAGGGGAATGGGTGACAGTCCTAGGGAGCAAGACTTCGGGGGAAGGGGCCTCAAGAGGAGGAGGAGGAAGAAGAGATTCAGGGGCAGAGGGTCTGCAAGGTAGAGGCACAAATTGGAGAAAGCTAAGAATGGGCTGAGTTGGGGTCTGGGATTAACCAAAGGAAGGTGATGGGAGATATGGACACAGGATGTAGGTGGCACCCCCTCTTGGGGAGGGGGAAGGCAGAGGGAAACCCGGCACCCTAAGAGTCTGAACTTTGCAAACCTCTGCTGAGCAGCAGCAGAGAATGAGAACGTGCCCAGACCAAGAGATCGTCTCAATGTTGGTACAAAGGTTGAGGGTTGCACAAGTACACAACACACACACTCACACACTAAATCCCTTTTCAGAGAGAACCGATCCTCAGATCAAGCACCATAGGCCCATCCAAATTCCAAACAGTTTCACATCCAAGGGTCCATATAATCCAAATATCCACCTTCAGAGGAGGTATCATAATTCCCACTTGACAGAAGAGGAGACAGCAGCTCAGAGAGGTGAAAGGTGTGCCGCCCAGTAAGTAGGAGATTCAGTGCTGATACCTTGCAGTGTCGAGCCCAGAATCAGCACTCAAAACCACTATATTATAACGCCTTTCAGTCCCACCAGCAAAGACCCTATTGAAGAAAATACTGTTGCATTGTTTGTCCCAAATCCCCAATCTCTCCAACTTCAAAGCACCAAGGAATTCCTTCAATAACAACTATGCCCCGTGCATTATAGTTCTATTACACCTAACATGCCACTGTCCCCATTTTCCACTCAAGAAAGACCAGACTCAGAGGGAAGTGATTTGACCTCATCACCCAGAGAATCAGCGGTGCAGCTACAGAGCCAAGGGCAGGGCCTGCCCCTTGAAGAACAGGAGACTCAGGAGCCCCGCCTCCTTTGCTGTGCTCCACCCTAACATCCCCTGATCACACCTCTCCCCTATTTCTCCATTAGAGGGCAGTAAGGAGTCTTGAAAGCTGGGGTCGCGGTGGAAGGGTGGGTTGCTGCCCAGAGGCCCAGCCCTGAGTTCTGTGAGACCCCACTCCCTTGGCCCCCCTCCAAAGCTCCTTGATGGTCAGGGTCTGTCACGCCCTCTGAGCCTCAACATCTTCCTTCAAGCAGCGACATCTCCAGCTGGGGTTCTCACCTCAGTTTCAAGAGAGGAAACGGAGGGACTGTGACCTACCCAAGGAGAGCCAGGCTCCACCCTAGCTGACTCCTTGATGCCACGAGGGGCCCAGGGCTGCCACATCCAGTGTGGCTGAGGGAGCCCTCGGCTCTGTCCAGCAGGGCAGCATTCTCACTGTGCTTGTGGGAAGCCAGGGACCCAGAGGTTGCGAACCCTGGGGCTTGGGTCCTGGGCTCCAGCGGCAGGAGCCTGGCTGAGATCCCTCCTTGCCTGGGGCACCTACCCAACGACCCAGACTCACAGGATCCCAGGACTGTAGGGAAGGGGAAGTTAGGAGGTGCGGGTCCCATGGCTTGGAGAGGGCAGGGGGAGAGGGCTCAGCCTCTGGTAGGGGGCATCCCCTGGACTTCTCTGCCCCTGGTCCCAGCCTTGGGTCCTGAGGATGCCCTAACGACAAGGAAGCACCACTCCCCCCAAAATTAATCATCCTACGATGGTCATCATAAGGCAGGTCGCACCTAGAACCGCAGAGAGGGGGGTGAAGCTGTAGCTATGAATCCTCTCTTTTATATACGGATCTCCCGGTGATCGGGAGACAAGACAGGCTAGAGCATCACATTCCAAAACCCCCGGGTCAGGATCGCCGCGGAAACGAGAGCTCCACCCCGTGCGTCTCGCGGGTCCTGCGCGGAGAAGGGGCGGGGCTGTGGGAGGGCGTGGCGCGGCCTTCGGAAGGCCCGGAACCTGGGCGAGAGCGGCGTGCGTTGCTGCCCGGAGGCTCCTGCGCCGCGGCCCGACGGCCCGCCGGCCCGGCAACGGAAATACGCCTGTCGGAGGCGCCGGGGAAGCTGCCACGTCCGAGGCCGGGAGCCGCCGCGCAGCAGCCATGGTGAGTGTCGGGGCCGTGGTCGCAGCCCTCCGTGCTCCTCCACGCGCCGGGGCCGTTCTGCCCCTTCCGCCGCTGCGAGGTGTGGGAGCTCTGGGCCTGCCCCCCGCGCCTTCCTGGGGCAGGGCGGCCTTGGGAGCGCCCGGAGTTCTGCGGCCGTGCCTCCTGCTCCTGCCTTTGCTTCTCGTCCCCCAGCATCGAAAACGGAACCAGGAACACCGTCGGAGCTGCCGTGTCCTGAGCCCCTAGGTCATTGCCAGCGTTGCTCGTAGGGGCACCCGGGGCTGTCGTTGTCCACACCTTACGAACGAGGGGGCTGGAGGATCACAGAGGCCAGGCCTCCTGCACAGGGGCTGAGTGGCAGAGCCGAGACTCGAAGCCCCCAGCCCTTCCCTTCTGCCGCCTCCCACCCGCCTCTCTCAGCAGAGATGTTCGTGGAGCGTTTGCCAGACGAGGGCCCCGGGGGTCAGCACACAGAGGTCCGGCGGAGCGAGGACTCTGAGGGCGGGGGCTAGGCGTTCTGGATCTCGGTGGTATCCGCAGTGTCCATCACTCCGCACCTGCTCGGGGAGCGGTGACTGGCTGATGGGAACTTACGGATGAAGGTGTCTGGCCTGAGCCTGGCACAGAGTAGGGCTTCAGCTAAGCAGCGCTCTCGGCAAAGTGGGCGTGCCTGGAGTATTCAGGAAACCTAGCTGAACCCAGAAGTCAAGACACTGGGTTTAGTTCTTGCTCTGCAGAGGGCTGGGTTTTACATTATTCCTCTCCTTTAGCCTCCGATTCTTCAGCTGCTGAGTAGAGTTGGGGTCTCTTGTGCTCTGACAGTCAGCTCTTTCTAAGTGAATTTTTAGCTCCTTAAATGACGCTGAAGAGCTGAACTTTTTTGAGGGCTGCCTTCTACTACTTAACAAGGACCAGACAACTTGAAGTGCTTGGGAGAAAAGACTTTTGAAAAAAGGTTTTAAGAAAAAAAAACAGTTATTCAGAAGTGTGGTTCAGCAGTTCTGGCTGGTGGGTAAGAGTGGTTAAAAATAAGTGCTGGTTGTCTCTAAGGTCCTTTGGTGACCTGGTGTGAAACTACCAGTAAACTTTCTTCCTGACTGCTTAGCGCTCAGCCATCAATTTAGGGAGTTGGAGGTAATGACTACTTGATGTTCTGGAGAAGCGGCCTGGTGGAGTGGAAAGCTCTGTGGGCTGGGAGTTAGCAGGTGGGGCTCTTCCCAGCTCCACCTTTGACTCGTGTCTCTTCCTTGGGCGCCTTCAGTTCTTTCATCTGCCAGTCAGCTCTGATTAACCCTGCTCTTCGTCCTTCCCAGTGCACGTGTGAAAGCACTCTGTCACCTCGCGGTGACACCTCGAGCTTGGCACCCTTAAGAGACTCTTTTCTTCTTTCTTCCTTACTTGCCTTCGCACACTGGAGGGGGGCGGGGGGGGGGCCTTTTTAGGACTGTAGAATTTGACGAGAGAACCTGTGCTTACTTAATGTACGCCTCTTGAACTGCTTTGCATCCTCTTCCAGTGTCCACCTTTCTGAAAAGTCAAGTCAGACTTTATACCTGCAGGGCTTGTGCTGGAAAAAGATGAAAGGGGGGAAATGGTAAGAAATACCAAACTGAACCCTCCTTTTCAATCCCAGGAGTTTTAAAAGAATAGTGGTTGAGCAAAGTAAAACTGTCTGTTTTTGTTCATTTGCTTATTCATTCCTTCTGGTTGCAAAGCATTGCGCTGGGTGATTTGAGAGGATTCAAAACTGGCCGACACAGACCCTGGCTCCAGGGAGCTCACCTTCTAGTTGGGAGAAGAAACAGCATAAAGTGTTGTAGACATTAAGTGCTGAAGATATTCAGAGGAGTCCAGCTATTTGGGGGATCTGGGAATCTTCAAAAAGGGGGGCATAATTCGAGTTGGATCAGTAGGTGACAGTCTAGGATCTATCAAGGGGGTGGACCAGGAAGTAGCTTGAAACTCAGGAGAAACTTGAATCAGTTCTCCATGTCTTAGATATTAACTCTGTTATGCAAAAACTTGCCTGGAACATCAGAGCCTCTGTCTGGTAGAGGGAAGGGAACCAGCCATAGCTCCCTCAGGGACCCCCTTTGCCTCAAAGGTAGCCAGGACTGCTTGACATCCCTCCTCTTTGCTCATGTTATCCCCTCTGCTTGGACTGTACTTTTTTCCCTGTGCCACCTGGCAATTCCTCATCATCTAAGCCCCAGTTCATGGCCACAACCAGGGTGCTGTAGCACTTGTAAACCAGCATTAAAGTATTTATCTTGCCATGTTAAGGGTACTTATGTACAAGCTTCTCAGGGGCAAGAAATGCCTCTTATTTGTGTCTGTGGCTCCAGTCCCTTTTCAAAAAGAAGGTACTTCGAGTGAATGTTTACTAAATGAGTGAGTGAACAAATGAGATCAAGAGCTTTTGAAATGATCAGTGAATATAATGACGTGATTGCATTTGAACTGCCATCAGTTCACTTACCCATGATACTTTTGGTTCTAGGTGTCAGTAATTAACACTGTGGACACCTCCCATGAGGACATGATTGTAAGTATTCCTTTAGCCCTCCCTCATGGGCTGTGGACATGGGTATTTCTGTGGGAGGGAAACGTTACCATTGATGATGTATGAATCCAGTGTGGCTTTGCAGCCTTTGCCTGTTAGGCTGTAGCCTCGGGTGCGGTCAGCCTGCCAGCAGTGTCCTGCATGTGGGCAGGGCTGTGGCAGTCTGGTCACTCTGGTGGGAAGAACGTGGGACTGGTTTGTAGCTCAGGGCCCTCAGCCTTCTGGCCAACAATGTCACCTGCTCCGGGATGGAGACTGAGTGGGTGTGGAGGTTTGACAGCAGTGTTCCCACCTGTCTTCCTCCTGCAGCCACTTCTTGGCCCCACTGGAAAGGGGGTTAAAAGAAGGGCGAGGAGAAGATGACTCACTACCAGGACAGAGGCCAGGCCCCAAGGCAGAGCCAGGTAGGACCACCACAGACAGCGGCCAGACAAGGCTCTTTGAGCCAGAAGGCAGTCAGTGCGGGTATTTCCTGAGAGGCCAACACAGGGCTCAGTGTAAGAGGACAGGGCTGTGGAGAAGGTCCCAAGGTTGAAGTCTCCAGCAGCAACGATGCAAACTCTGCGTCATGCAAGGCCAAGCAGTCCAGGCAGCCCTACAGCATTTCGTCCCAGAGTTCCTGCCCTCACAAGCTGCCCACCACTGGTTGCTTTTGGGCTGCTGAGAGCTTGCCTCGTCTCGTAGTTGTATACGTTCCCTGGATGCAGTCGTGTGCGGTCTAGCTGTGAGGCCACACCTCCTTGGAGATAGTGTGGCACCATGGATAAGAAAATCCAATGTGAGACTCCCTAACCAATCTCTTAACTTCTGTGAGCCAGCCTTGATTTCCTTATAGCTAAAATGGGGAAAATAATGGATATGTACCTACTTGTGTGGGTTCAGTTTGAGGAAAAGCTCAGGCAAAGTAGTAATGAATAACATCTGCATGCTCCCTGAGTGTCAGACCCCATGCCAAATGCTGTTCACTCAGTATCTCAGTGAACCTTCATGACAACTTTAGGCAGATGCCATCATTAGCCCCATTTAAAGATAAGAAAAGTGAGGTTCAAGGAGATTAGATAATGTTTCAAGGTTGCACAGCAGATAAGCTAAAGAGATAGGATTTAAATCTCTTAGGTACTGTGCCCTGCTTCCTCCCGAAGCGTGGGATAGCACTCTGCAGGAGAAGTGCTTCAGAAATAGACTTGCAGAGAAGAGCTGTCTTAACACCTGCACTGCCTGCCTTCCAAGAAGCCAAGACCTGGACTAGTGGAGGGAGTTGACTTCCGAAGAAGAATGGGGCTGCTTTCCTTAGGTAGGGAGAGGAGGAGAGAATGTTGAAGCAGATGGAACGATTGCTTCCGTTGATAGGATATCATTGCTGCTGATAATCACAAGAGTGACAGCTGATAGTTCCTAAACCCCTGGGGTAGGACAGCTGAGGAAAGTGCCATCTGTTGGAATAGGCAGGGCCAGCAAACAGGAGGGACCAACCAATATGTTCAGTGGGGTAGCAGGCGTAGTGGCTCAGAGAAGCCATCGCATAGCTGGACAAAGAGCTAAGGGTGGGGGCCAACCTTAGGTCTGGATGGCCGATCAGCATCGAGGAAGTCAGTTCATCAGTGGTGGGACAGGCGACATTTAAGCCATGGGTGGAGAGTCTGGGTTACTGGGTACACTACTAGGAAGAAGGTCAAGTAGAAACCCAGGACCAGAGGTCCACAAAGGATCCAGGGCCATGCGTGGAAGAAGGAGTCCAAGTGTCTGAATGGAACCCTGTGTCCCGGCCAGATGTGCATCATGGAGGACCTGATTGGGACCTACAGACAGTCAGAGGCCACCTCCTTTGGGTCAGCATTAGCCCTGGGTTCTGGGGCTGAGCTGAACCCCTGGGTATCTTCCCCAGTAGCCCATGGAGCCTCAGAACATGATGGAGCCTGAGGAAAGAGGAAGAAGAGAGAGGCTGGACCAGCTTTTTCTCCTCCATACCCACCCTACAGGACAAGATTGGAAAGGACTTCCCCTGTGTATGTGAAGGGTCTAAAAGCAGCTGGATCTGGTTTTTCTTGTCCCTTTCAGAAAGACATTGCCTGTCAGAGAAGTGAGAATGTTGACAGGCTAGCTTCCTGCCTAATAGTGATTATTCTTTGAGGTTAGATTCATTTCAGTAGACTCTGGTCCAACTAGACTCTGTCCTGGTGACTGCCCCCAGCCCACCCCCGCCACCCAGCCTGCAGGCTTCCTGAGCTGTCCTTCCTTTGCAGCACGATGCACAGATGGACTACTATGGCACCCGCCTGGCAACCTGCTCGTCAGACAGGTCTGTCAAAATCTTCGACGTGCGCAACGGAGGGCAGATCCTCATTGCCGACCTCAGGGGGTAAGTGCAGGGCAAGGTCTCAGAGAATGGCTGGGCTTCTCGGATGTGGCAGGAAAGGCTGAGAGCCCACATCGGAGCAGCCCGTAGTGCAGTGAGCAGAGGTCCTGGGCTGATGATCCAGGAGAGGGTCCCAGCTCTGCTACCAAAGTACCCACTGGAAGACCTTAGGCCAGAGAGGTTACCTCTGGGAGCCTTCCCCTGCTCACCCTCAGAACAGGCTGGTGCTGCCCCCTCCCCGATAGAGCCGCTCGCAGCAAGCCTTCGGTAGCTACTGCTACTTTTAAAATTGGGAAACTGCCTCTTTTTTTTTTTTTTTTTTTTTTACAAGTTTAGCCAGATGATCTAAAGTGTCACTCAAGGGCGGTAGTGCAGAATGTCCTAGTTATTATATAAATCCCGTAATTCTGCCCGTTTGCCCGTGGCAGGTATTCAGTGAATATTTACAAGTGTTTGACATACCTTCTCCCTCCTGAGATTCTTGAGATCCTGGCTCTCATTTTTATGGCCACATCTCTGCTGCTCTTCTTCAGTTCACTTCCTTTCAAATAGATGGGGGCTCTTAACCTTAACCTTAATCCACAGATCTGCAGGGGTTCAGTGGATAGAATTCAGGGGTTGGGGAACTGGAGCAGGGAAAAAAAAGTCACGTCTTTATTTTCAGTGACTCTGATATTTAGCATTTCCTTCAGTTATGGATGTAGGCCAGAAACCACAGTAGTATTCATAGTGCCTGTCACTTTTTTACCAGAAGTCAGAGATATCTTCCTATCACATTTCAGGTGTTGTAGCCATCTCACGATAGCAGGTATGCTCATCACTACTTTGAAATCAGAGTGGCTGTTAGACCTGCCACTAGAGTTTGTTACTAAATGTCTTAAAGAAGCACACATGTCACTGTATCATAAAGTGTTCTTTAGCGTTTCAGTGACTGTATTTCCATATAACTGGGTTTCCTTTATAATCCTAGTATAATCTAAGTATTTTATCTGTTATTCTGAGAAGGGACCGTAACCTTCCCCAGACTGCACAAAAGAGACTAAAGCCCTGGACGAGTAGGGGCTCAGTACACGTTTGTTAACTGAATTAAAGAAGACCTAACTAAAGTGGTAGCCGTTTGGGCAGATGGCCTAGAAGTTGCCCTCATCCTGAGTGTCAAGAATCAAGTGACTGAAGAGCCCAATGCCACCTTCCCTGTCCAGCAGCCCCTGGCTGAGCAGAGAGCTGCTAAGGTGAGGCCTGGCTGCCAGCACTGGCAGAGGCAGTCACGTCTGCTGTCACGCAGTCCTTTCTGCTCTGTGTTTTTCTTACGCTCGAAGGATGTGAATTGGTGAGAGAAAAAATTCACACCCCTATTCTTTTTTGAAAAGAATATTCAATAATATTCTTTCAGTTAGAACTGTGCTAGTTGTAGGACATTTGAGGCTACTGAGAGTTTCATTAGCAGCTCCTTTTGTAGGGACTGGAAATGTACTATTGTCCCAGCCAGAGGGTGAAAGAGTGAACAAGGAGCAGCAATAATACCTCTTAAGGCATTGAGCGTCTTTTGTGTTGGGGTTTTTTCCTTTTCTTGTACCAAGCACTGTTCCATGCTCTTGATATGATTTATCACAAAACGTCTCCTCTCGTGGTCACCCTGTGGAAGCAGTCTTGTTTATAGCCCCATGAAGAGACCAAGCCATAGAGAGGATGTGGTCCTTGTCTGAAGTCAAGCTCTAGTGCATGGGGAGGGGGTGTGAAAGAGCCTGGCCCATCCCCTCTGCACCGTGCCACCTCCTGTGTGCTGGGTGCCCACCCTTCCCTGGACCAAGAAACATCTCCAGTACAGAAGCCAGCACAGGGTACGTGCTCAGACAGTACTGATAGGTGAATGCGCAAAGGTCAGAAGAGAAGAGGGAGACATGCTTGTGGAACAAAATACAAGAGTCCTGGAAAGTATCAAAATGAAACAGATACTGCCTCCTCAAAAAGCTGGCCATCTGGAAGGCAGAACAGCGATTCTCTACAGACGCTCACTGAGCTCTTGCAGGTGCAAACCCTAGACTGATCGGTGACAGTGCTGATGGCAGTAGATGTAGGTGGTGCTGGCTGCAGTCTGGGGCAAGTGAGAGTTCTGCTGGCTCAGGACAGAGAGGCTGACTTAGAGTCCTGACTCACTTCCAGAGCCTCTGTGACCTCCCTGGGCCTCAGGGTCCTCACTGCCCAATGAAGATCCCTTTTGGCAATGGCGTTCTATGGCTCTCCCTTTTGAACTTCTTAGGCAGTTCCATCTTAAGACACTGGCTCTGCCAACCAAGAAAGCTATTCAGTTCTTTCCAGAGTAGCGGCTGGCAGAGCACAGTGAGTTCCTCCGGCCCATCTGAGCAGCCTCTCCCCTTGCAGTCATGAGGGTCCTGTGTGGCAGGTGGCCTGGGCCCACCCCATGTATGGCAACATCCTGGCATCCTGCTCCTATGACCGGAAAGTCATTATCTGGAAAGAGGAAAATGGCACCTGGGAGAAGACGCACGAGCACACGGGACATGACTCCTCAGGTACACTGAGTGGGGCAGGACAAGGTGGGGGAAACCTTTGAGGAGAAAGGTCTCTGTCTTGGCCAGCACTCTGGTTCCTTGCTCCTTGTGATGCTCCTTGTTTGTCCCTTGTGCTTTAGTTGGCTTTTCTACTAGTCTGTCCACAATGGAGGGAAGGGCCTAAGATCTAAAGCCAGTCCAAAGCAAAATGAGAAAAGCAAAAATAACACACTGTTTTTTTAAAGCCTTATTCATTTTAAGTACTGGCCTTTATTCTCAGTTTATTGCCCATCCTACTTTTTGTTAAGATAGATGTCAGTTTGTGAAATGATGATATTGGTAGGTGATGGGTTTTTTCGATCTCCCTAATTGACAAAATTACAATTTGCCCCTGCTGATCCCTGGAATTTTTTTCAGAAATTTAGTAAAATGGTAAATCTGGGAAATGAAAGTCTGCTCACTGTGCCTCCCTCCTTCCTGCAGTAAACTCTGTGTGCTGGGCCCCCCATGACTACGGCCTGATCCTAGCCTGTGGGAGCTCTGACGGGGCCATCTCCCTGCTGACCTACACTGGGGAGGGCCAGTGGGAAGTGAAGAAGATCAACAATGCTCACACGGTAAGTCCAGACCCTGCCTGCATGGAGAGGGTAGCTCTGCTGCCTTGCCGTGTGTCTCCTGTGGACTCCCTAGAGAGTGGCAGGATAGTGTCGCTGCTGTGCAGTGGGCCAGGGAGGGGGCTGTCAGTCAGACTTGCTTGGTGGAGTAGCTCTGAGCCTCTTTGCTCTGAAGCCAGACAGAAGCTGCATTCAGGGAGGCCAGGCTGCACCAGCCTCATTCAGGCCAGGGCAGGAGTTGGCACTGGTTCCTCACTGCAAGCTCCCATGTCAGGGAGGGCCAGGGCACTGGCAAGGTGAAGGCAGCAGTCTGCCTACCTACCACCTTTGCTGTGGACACCTCAAGTTGACATGCCTTGCAGTGGTCATTGGGACCCCCGAGAACTGAGTGGTGTTATAAAAAGCATCATAGGAATTTACTTCCCTGTACTTCTAGTCATTGGGCATTAAGGTTGAAACAGTCAAGAAAGCACTGTGGACAGGAGGAAAAACTCACATTTCTTGAGCCCCTGCCGTGTGTTCTGTAATCCTCACAAACATTTGTGAATGAAAAAAGAAACTGACAAATGTACAGATTTGCAAGGTAAGCAGTCTTATTCCCTTGTTATGATGAGCCTCAGAAAAAGTAGTGACTTAGAGAAGGTACTGTGCTGGGGTCAGAACCCTGGAACCTGTGTGCCTTCTCTACACAGCAGTTCCAGCTTTGATGGCTCCAAATGCTTCTGCAATTTACCCAGGTGGGAACTTAAAGGCGGTACCCCCAAGCTTGACACTGTACTTTTGCAGTTCTCAAATTCAGGGGATCCACAGCCTGTCCAGCCCTCAAGGCCCCAGGAGCCTGGCTCAGGGTCTTGTTACTTTGGCCCTGTGATCCCCGTTTGCTGACTAATTTGCAAAAAGGAATAAGCTGGGAGGCTTCTGGGAAGAAGGTAGGGAGTGGCATTGTAGTTTTTCATTCTTTCCACATCTCTTCATAAAAACCAACAGAGCAACTAGGTGGTAAAACCAAAACCTCATGAACAACATTTACAATGAAGCCATGTAACAGGGTATTTCCACAAACTCCAAAATACAAGCAGAAAGGAATGAACCAGCAACAGCCACAGGACTGCATGGCATTGGTGTCCAAGCAGAGGAAGAAGGAAGCAGTGGGTTCCTTCTCAGCCTGAGAAGAGGAGTGCCCCCAAAATGGCTGGCAAATACTCACTGGAAAGCATAGCTGGCCAGTTTGAGAACAGCTGAAACTGGGAGAAGTTTTGTGTTTTTGTTTTTAACTTTTTTTTAATTAAGATACAATTCACATATCATAAAATTCATTCTTTTTTAAAGTACATAGTTCCATAATTTTTAGTATATTCACAAAGTTCTGCAACTATCACCACTATCTAATTTCCAGAACTTTTTCATCACCCCAAAAAGAAACCCAATTAGCAGTCACTCTTCACCCTACCCTACCCCCAGCCCTAGGCAACCACTAATCTGCCTTCTGTGTCTATGGGTTTTCCTATTTGGGACATTTCCTGTAAATGGAATCATACAATATGTGGTCTTTTGTGACTGGCTTCTTTCCATTAGCATGTTTTCAAGATGCATCGATGTCATAGCATATATCAGTGTTTCATTCCTTTTAATGGCTGAATAGTATTCCATTGTGTGAATATACACATTTTGTTTAGCCATCCTTCAGTTGATGGACATTTTCAGCTATTATAAATAATGCTATTTACACATTTAAGTCTAAGTTTTGTGTGAACATATGTTTTCAGTTTTCTTGGGTATATACCTGGGAGTACAATTGCTGAGTCATGGAAACTTCATGTTTAACTTTTCAAGATACTGCTAAACTGTTTTCTTTTTTTTTTCCCATTCATTAGTTTCTTTTTTCTTTTTTTTTGCTTTTTCTCCCCAAATCCCCCCAGTACATAGTTGTATATTTTAGTCATGGGTCCTTCTAGTTATGGCATGTGGGGCGCCGCCTCAGCATGGCCTGATGAGCAGTGCCATGTCCGCGCACAGGATCCGAACTGGTGAAACCCCAGGCCACTGAAGCGGAGTGCATGAACTTAACCACTGAGCCACGGGGCTGGCCCCAAACTGTTTTCCAAATTAACTGCACCATGTTACAATCTCACCAGGAATGTATGAGGGTTTCAGTTTGTCCACATCCTTGCCAACACGTGTTGTCATCCGTCTTTCTCATTATAGCCATCCAAGTGGGTGTGGAGTAGTATTTCATTGTGGTTTTGATTTGTATTTCTCTAATGAGTCATGAGGTTGAGCATCTTTTCACGTGCTTATTGGCCATTTGTGTGTCTTCTGTGGAGAACTGGCTGGAAGGGGTTTTGTACTGTGTCATACCAGGTGAGTGCAAGGAGCCCACTGTAAGGGAGACTGAAGAGGCTTGGGAACCTGACCCTGAGGACCCACCAGGACTTGCATCCACAACAGGGCCTCGCGGGGGAGGAACTGCTGGGAGTGAGATCAAAACGGAGCCACACAGGGACACAGAGAGGATGGAGCCCACAGTCAGGGAGGGGAACAGAGCCTGGAAAGCCCCAGAGCAAGCCGCACGTTTGTTTACACAAAACAGAGACTTCTGAACTTAGAACGGCTTTCCTGAGCCTCACTTTATCAGAAAAACTAATCTTACATAAAAATAACAGAAAAGCGTTTGAGGTGAAGCCACATACAAAGTCTTCCTTGTAAGAAAGAAAAGGATCTGCAGAATAACATCCCTATAAGCAATGAAAGAAAGACATGCCCACGAAACAGAACAACTGTCACCCACTCTTTCAAATCAAGCTCAGAGGCACTTTTAAATGATGTGAGACACAAAAAAACAGCATAAATCAAAATTAACAAACTCAGAAGCGAGGTGACAGCACTCAGGGAAGCATTAGAAATAAAATTTTTCTCAGAAATAAAGTCTAAATTAGAAGGAACACAAGAGCAAATAAACACAACAGATAATGCCTTAAGAGAAACAGAGTGTGAAAAGCAGAAAATTTTTTAAATCAAAAAAATGAAGAGAGAAGGGCTGGCCCAGTGGTGCAGCAGTTAAGTTTGCACGCTCCACTTCAGTGGCCCAAGGTGCACCAGTTCCGATTCCAGGCACAGACCTAGCACTGCTTATCAGGCCATGCTGTGGCAGGCGTCCCACCTATAAAATAGAGGAAGGTGGGCACAGATGTTAGCTCAGGGCCAATCTTCCTCAAAAAAAAAAAAGAGAGAAAGTAGAGACAGGCAGAGATCAAATGTATGAATAATAGGAATCCCTGAAGAAGAAGAAAGAACAAATACTAAAAACTAATTCAAGAAAACTATCCTAAAATTTTTAAAAAAAGATTTGAAACTACATATTGAAAGAGCATACCCTACACTTAAGGATATCAACCCAGAATTCACCAGCAAAAGGACATAATTCTAGTAGGATTACTGGCTTTTAAAGAAAAAGAAAAAAATCCTTTACACATCTAGGAAAAAGCCATGTGACTAATAAGGAAAATAGATTATCATCAGACTTTTCAACAGCAATGATTTCACGCATAAGAAAAAAGAACCCATTTACAAAACTCAAGGGTAGAACGTGTGAGCCAAGAATTTATAACCAGCAATGCTGACTTTCAAGTTCACACAAAGTCTCATACTCAGAAGTTCATAGCAGCCCTAATAGCCCAAAACTGGAAATAATCCACATGTGCATCAGCAGGTGAATGGATCGACAAATGGTGGTATATCCACACAATAGAAATGCTACTTAGCAATAAAAAGGAACAACTACTGATACACACACAAGATGAAGAACTTTAAAATAATTATCCTGGGTGAAAAAAATCAGACAAAAAAATACATACTATGATTCCATTGATCTAAAATTCCAGAAAAAGCAAACTAATCTACAGTAACAGATCAGTGGTTGCTAAGGGGGGTGGAGATGTGGGGAGATGGATTACAAAGGGACCTGAGAAAACTGGGGAATGATGGATGTAGTCATTATCTTTTTTTTCCCCAATAAAACACTATGTTTTTATTACCTCTTTTATTTATTTATTTTTTAAGATTGGCACCTGAGCTAACAATTGTTGTCAATCTTCTTTTTTTTTTTTTCTGCTTTTTCTCCCCAAATCACCCCAGTATATAGTTGTATATTTTAGTTGTGGGTCCTTCTGATTGTGCTATGTGGGACGCCGCCTCAGTGTGGCCTGACTAGCAGTGCCGTATCTGCGCCCAGGATCCGAACTGGCGAAACCCTGGGCCACCGAAGCAGAGTGCGCGAACTTAACCACTCGGCCACAGGGCCGGCCCCACCTCTTTTTTTTTTTAAATGGAGGTATAATTGGCATGCAACATTATATAAGTCTCAGGTGTTCCACATAATGATTCAGTATTTGTATACATTGCAAAGTGATCACCACGATAAGTCTAGTTAACGTCTGTCACCATACATAGTTACCAAAAAAAATTTTTTTTCTTGTGATGGGGACTTTTAGGATCTACTCTCTTAGCAACTCTCAAATGTGCAATACAGTATTAACTATAGTCACCATGCTGTATATTACATCCACATGACTAATCTGTTTTATAGCTGGAAATAGGTACCTTTTGACCCCCTTCACACATTTTGCCATCCCCCTCCTCCTGCCTCTGGCAACCACCAATCTGTTCTTTGTATCTATGCCTTTGGTGGGGGAGGCGTGTTTCTTTTTTTTAGATTCCACAGAATTGAGATCATACGGTATTTATCTTTCTGACTGACTTACTTCGTTTAGCATAATGCCCTCAAGTTCCATCCACGTTGTCACAAATGGCAAGATTTTATTCTTTCTTTATGGCTGAATCATATTCCATCGTAGATATATATATATATATATACACCGCATCTTTAGCCATTCCTCAATCAATGGACACTTAAATTGTTTCCATATCTTGGCTTTTGTAAATAAATCTGCAGTGAACATGGGGTATATGTATATTTTCAAATTAGTGTTTTCATTTTCCTCAGATAAATACCCAGAAATGGAATTACTGGATCATATGGTAGTTCTGTTTTTAATTTTTTGAGGAACCTCCATACTGTTGTTCATAGTGGCTGCACCGATTTACATGCCCACCAACAGTGCACCTGGGCTCCCTTTTCTCCACATCCTCACCAATGTTTGTTATCTCTCGTCTTTTGATAGTTATTCTAACGAGCATGAGGTGATATTGTGATTTTGATTGGCATTTCCCTGATGATTAGTGGTGATGAGCATATTTTCATGTGCCTGTTGACCATCTGTGTGTCTTCTTTGGAGAAATGGATATTCAGATCCTCTGCATTTTCTAATTGGATTGTTTGGTTTCTTTTGCTATTGAGTTATATGAGTTCTTTTATATTTTAGATATTAACGCCTTATAGATATATGATTTGCAAATATTTTCTCCCATTCAGTAGGTTGCCTTTCCCTTTTGTTGATGATTTTCTTTGCTGTGCAGAAGCTTTTTAGTTGGATGTAGTCCCACTTGTTTATTTTTTATTTTGTTCCCTTCGCTTTTGTAGTCAAATCCAGAAAATTATCGCCAAGACTATGTCAAGGCGCTTACTGCCTATGTTTTCTTCTAGGAGTTTTATGGTTTCAGGTCTTAACAGTCAAGTCTTTAATCCAGTTTGAGTTAATTTTTGTGTGTGGTGTAAGATAGTGGTCCAGTTTCATTCTTTTGCATGTGGCTGTCCAGTTTCCCCAACACCGTTTATTGAAGAGACTGTCCTTTCCCCATTGTATATTCTTGGCTCCTTCATCATAAATTAATTGACCATATACGCATGGGTTTATTTCTGGGCTCTCTATTCTGTTCCACTGATGTAGTTGTTTGTTTGTATGCCAATACCATACTATTTTGATCACCAGAGCTTTGTGATGTACTTTAAAATCAGGGAGCGTGATGCCTCCAGCTTTTTTGTTCTTCCTCAAGATTGATTTGGCTATTTGGGGTCTTTTATGGTTCCATACAAATTTTAGGATTGTTTGTTCTATTTCTGTGAAAAATGCCATCCCTTTTTTTCTTAGTGAGTCTAGCTAAAAATTTGTCAATTTGTTTATCCTTTTAAGGAACCAGCTCTTAGTTTCCTTGATCTTTTCTGTCGTCTTTTTAGTCCCTATTTCATTTATTTCTGCTCTGATCTTTGTTATATCCTTCCTTCTACTAACTTTGGGCTCCATTTGCTGTTCTTTTTCTAGTTTGAGCTCTAAAGTTAGGTTGTTTGAGATTTTTCTTGTTTTCAAAGTAGGCATTTATCACTATAAACTTCCCCTTAGAACTCCTTTTGCAGCATCCCATAAATTTTGGTATGTTGTATTGCCATTTTGTTTAATTGTTTTCTGGCTGTTTTGTAGTTCTTCTCTGTTCCTTCTGCTCTTGCTCTCTTCCTTTGTGGTTTGATGACCTTCGTTAGTGGTGTGCTAGATTCCTTTCTCTTTATCTTTTGTGTATCTACTATAGGTTTTTGCTCTGTGGTTATCATGAGGCTTACCTATAACAACCTATATTCATAAGTCTATTTTAAGTTGATAACAACTTAAGTTTGGACACATTCTAAAGCTCTGTATTTTTACTTTCTCCCTACCCATGTTTTATGTTTTTGATGTCACATTGTACATCTCTTTCTTGTGTATCCTTTAATTATTGTAGTTACAGCTATTTTTACTACTTTTGTCTTTTAACCTTCATACTAGCTTTATAAGTGATTAATCCTCTACTTTTACTATATATTTACATTTACCAGTGACGTTTCTACTTTCATATCTCTTCTTGTTAGCTTAACGAAGTCCCTTTAACATTTCTTGTAGGCCAGTTGAGTGGTGATGAGCTCCTTCAGCTCCTTCAGCTCCTTCAGCTCCTTCCAGCTCACTGTCTGTAAAACGCTCTCTCTCCTTCAATTCTCAATGACAGCTTTGCCATGTAGAGTGGTCTTAGTTGGAAGTTTTTCCTTCAGCACTTTGAGATACGTTTGTTATCTGGATTGTAGTGATGGTTTTACAGGGTATACCTATGTCAAAGTTCCTCAAATTGTAGACTTTATATGTAGTTAATCTCAATTATACCTCAAAGCTGTTTTTAAAATTTGATTTTGGAATATAAAGGACACAAACTATTATCAGTATGCAAGAAGTCAAGGCCTGTTGTTTCCATGAGCCCTTTCTGAGGTATCTATTAAAGTATAAGCTTCAAACAACAAAATAACTAGAAAGACATCCATATAAATATACAGTTAATTGTAGAGAACTAGGATGAAACGAGGGTTAAAAAGCAGCCTCTAGGAAGTAGTGGCGTGTGCTCTGCTAAGGTAGATAGAGCACAGCTGTGAAAACTGTGGGGCACAAGCAGCCGGAGAGCCAGATTTTTTAATATTGGCACCATTCATACAAACCACTCCCCTCCCCCAAAAAAAACAAAACTGGGAGAGAATGGGAGAGCATTGCAAACACTTTCTTAAATGTTTTTAGTAGTCGTATTGGCAATGTTACTATTCTGACACTGTTGTGAAATGAGAGAAAATAAACAGTGCCGTGGCAGTGAGCATCCCTAGCAGTAGACGATAGTCTTGAAATACAGTTTCACTAAAAGAAACCAGAGCTCTCGAGGAAACGGCTGATCCCAGGTCGGAGGCAGGAAGGGTATAAGATGAGCCTGGAACACTGTCACCCCAGATAGAAAGGAAATAAAGACGTACTTTGACACGCTAGAGTTATGTCAAAGGGGCCAACTTGAACAAGCTCACACTGCCAAAGATGGGCAGTTTGAGTGCCAAAAATGGGAATAATTGCAATGAACTGAAACACATTAAATATGCTTAAATCCACGAGTTCATAATGATACTAAAGAGAGTCAGTGACCTTTGGGAAGTGACATGGAACCAGTTCAGAAAGAATCATGCCTTTATCCTGCCTTTCCTATCTGATCTGTACCCCTGGGGAACAAAATATTAATGAGAGGAATTGCGCCTGTTTACAGTATTCCATGTAATAAATGACAAAGAAATGAACAGAATTACAGTGTCACCGTTTTGTAACTTAGGCCTAGTGAATTAAGAGGGGCCTAAATTATTGACAGGTGCAAATAATATAAAGCTAGGCAATCTGACACCATGTGCCTCCTGATGAAAGAATATACGACCACCTGTGGTCTTGGCAAAGGGACCAAACCTGGGTCTGAACCAGTCTTGGATCCAGCTGACAATTTTCAGAAATTCAGAATGTGTTGAACTGAGTATGCAAGAGCAAAAGTCAGCCTGAGAGACTACAGGTCAGTTTTCTTCAACAGAAACATTGTAAGGAAAAACAGGATCAGAGGAGGAATCTATAAATTAGGAAATGTAAGAAAATCAAAAATGTTTAATTGGCAAGACTAAACTGTAGTGTCTAGGGATGCACATTTGGGTGACAAAAGAGAAATGTCAGGATAATGGTTACAGGGGAAAAGGGGGGCGGTGATTCGGATAGGACATACGACAGGGCTTCTTGGGTAAATGGCAGTTTTATTCCTTGATCCGGTGGTGGTTACAAGAGTAATTCATTAAGCTATATATTTACTTTGTGTGGTTTTCTGAATCTGTGCCCTCCCTTCACATGTTTGAATGTTTGGAAAATGTTCTGTTGCTTAAATTCCTGAGAGTCCCTAATTCCTACTTTAAATGCTTATTGCTGAAGAACACATGCGCCATTAGGAATCCTTGAAGGAGAATTAGGCGTGGCTAATCCTTAGTTCATCAGAACAGCTGTCTTACATAATCCAGTCCTGAGAGCTGAGGGAGAATGAGCAGCAGCCTTGGGTCTGTAGAAGCAGCGCCCTGTTGCAGGGCACAGGGCCGAGTCACCACAAGTCCCCCTCCCTGCAGATTGGCTGCAATGCCGTCAGCTGGGCCCCTGCTGTTGTGCCTGGAAGCCTCATAGACCAGCCATCGGGGCAGAAGCCCAACTACATCAAGAAGTTTGCGTCGGGCGGCTGTGACAACCTCGTCAAGCTGTGGAAGTAAGTGGGGTTCAAGGGGACGCTTCTTAACCTTCTCCTCTACCTGCCATGACTCAGCCCAGCTCTCGAGAAACAGGATCACCTTTCTTTCCGTGGAATACTGTTTTCAGTCTCTCAGAGGACATCCTTTAAAAGTGAACTTGCCCTGGGGCTGGCCCCGTGGCCGAGTGGTTAAGTTCGCGCGCTCCGCTGCAGGCAGCCCAGCGTTTCGTTGGTTCGAATCCTGGGCGCGGACATGGCACTGCTCATCAAACCACGTTGAGGCAGCGTCCCACATGCCACAACTAGAAGGACCCACAACGAAGAATATACAACTATGTACCGGGGGGCTTTGGGGAGAAAAAGGAAAAAAATAAAATCTTAAAAAAAAAAAAAGTGAACTTGCCCTTTCCTCAAGCACTTTTACTCTTCACCTGATTCCCAACTGCTGAAGCCAACTTGTTGGCTGTGGAGGAACCAAGTATTTCCTGGAGGATTTCTTTCTTTCTTTTTTTTAAAGATTGGCACCTGAGCTAACATCTGTTGCCAATCCTCTTTTTCGTTTCCTCCCCAAAGCCCCCCAGCATGTAGTTGTATATTCTGGTTGTAGGTCCTTCTGGCTCTGTTATTTGGGATGCTGCCTCAGCATGGCTTGATGAACAGTGCTAGGTCCACGCCCAGGATCCGAACCAGGGAAACCCTGGGCCACCAAAGCAGTGCACATGAACTTAACCACTCACCACAGGGCTGGCCCCCTGGAGGATTTCTTTACAGCTGGTGAACTGAATAAAATTCTACAGGCTCAGTGAATGAAATCAGAAAGATGGAATAGCTTCTTGGCCCCTGTGGAGCCTAGAGGGTGGGGGAGGAGTGGAGGTATGGGAAAGGCACCTGGGCTACTACCTGCTGGATTCTCTCTTTGATCTCCCCTGTTAGGGAGGAGGAGGATGGCCAGTGGAAGGAGGAGCAGAAGCTGGAAGCACACAGTGACTGGGTTCGAGACGTGGCCTGGGCCCCCTCCATTGGCCTGCCCACCAGCACCATCGCCAGCTGCTCCCAGGTCAGCTCAGACCCATGACAGCATCCTGTGTTATTTAATCTCTGAGTGAGTCCCATCAGCGCTGACAGTCCCCCTGGGGAAAAGTCCTTGAAAGGTAAGGGCAGAGAACAGGCGCTTTTAGACCAGTGCAGAAGGGGGAGCGTGTGGGGCTGGGTCATCACACAGTGAAGTCTCGTCAGAAACCACAAGTGGCTTGCCTCCACTAGGCCAAGACCAGGGCCACTGTCAGGACCGATTTCCCCTCCTGACCCTTGTTTGGGTAGAGAATGGAGGTGCCCAGGTGCAATTCTGAGAGTATTCACAAGCAAGGACCAGGGCAATGGGACGCTCTAAGACCTTGCACTCATCTACTATCTGCTCTTCCCAGACAGATCACAGAAGTAGGACCAAAGACAAGCCTTCAGTTATATGCTATCACCACCCTAGACAAGGGGAAGCCAGGCCTTTTGCATCATTTGAGCCTGTTTTGTTTGGTCCTAAATTTGAGAGGGTTGTTGTTTTTTTTTTAACTTGTCCCTTCTCATTCTCCAAGCTTCGTTTTTAGACAGCTGTACCCATTCAGTTGAGAAAGTATAGACACAGCCACAGGGAGCCAAAACAAGGACGTGACTTAGCAGACATGAGGGAAGCGCCAGAGAAAATTTGAGAGGTAGCAATGCAGACAAAGTCCATGCCTGAAACCAATTTGAGGAAAGGAACCAAGGAGTGTCTTCCCAGGGTAAAGGGATAAAAGCAAGGGTGCTGGGCTGGAAATTGGTCGTCAGTGCTGTGGACACGCAGGCTGTGCTTTGCACTGAAGCCCCACCCTGTTCCTGCAGAGGTCCAGTACGGCCCCGGATTGAGAGGCTATCACCAGTGCAGGATCCCTGCCCCCGTCTCCTGACTCGAGTCTGTCTTTTCCCAGGATGGTCGTGTGTTCATTTGGACCTGTGACGATGCCTCGGGCAATACATGGTCCCCCAAACTGCTACACAAGTTCAATGATGTTGTGTGGCACGTGAGCTGGTCCATCACAGCCAACATCCTGGCCGTCTCAGGCGGAGACAATAAGGTACACCCCATTTCCATGACCTGGTGGACAGGGCCCTGTTTGTCTTTACCTTGCCAAGTAGCGAGTTCATTTGAATTTCCCATCTAATGGGGGGCTTGGAAGGAACCCTAACGAGGACTGCGTTTAGAGCATGTCTCAGTTACATCATTAAATCTTACAGTTCCCCGAGAGATGCATGTCCTCCTTTTACAGCTAGGAAAGAAGCACACAGAGGCGATGAGACTTGCATAGGGGTCACAGAGCTGTTAGGTGGCAGAGCCAATAATCAGTCCCAAGTTAAATCCAAAGCCGCTTAGCCCATCCCGCTAGCCATTTGACGACCTCATCTTGATGACATCAATTAGCTCTGCCCAAAAAGTAAGTCAACAGGAAAACTCAAACAAAAGCAAAAAGAGGGGGGACGGGGGGGTCCAAAACACCTAAGCAGCATATTTTTAAAACTCAGTACAATTCGTGAGTACTTATTATACACCAACTGTGTACCTCTTTCTGTTATGCTATGAACGATACAAAGGAAGGAACATGGAGCCCAAGTGGCTACTGGAAAACTTAGTAAAACAAAGACCAGCACAGGGCCATAGCAACAGAGCCAGATGCACTTGAAAACTCATCGTGACCACTGCCTTTGAAAGTTAGGGGCCCTCTGCCTTAGTGGAGTCAGCAGGGCAGATGGTGGTGGCTTGTTACTTCTTCCTTTCTGTAGGCAGCTTTGTGGGGTTTTTAACTGTGGTAAATACACCTGACATAAAATGTACCCTCATCGCCGTTTTTAAGTGCACAGTTCAGTGGCGTTAAGCACATTCACACTGTTGTGCAGCCATCCCACCATCCATCTCCACAACTTTTTCATCTGCCCCAACTGAAACTCTCTACCCCTTAAACAACAACTGCTCGTGCCCCCTCCCCTCCCCCCTGGCACCCACCATGCCAATTTCTGTCTCTAGGAATCTGACTACTCTAGGGAGCTCATGTATTCATACAGTATTCGTCTTTTTGTGACTGGCTTATTTCACTCAGCATAGTGTCCTCATCTGTGTTGTAGGTCATTTATGTTGTAACATGTGTCATAGTTTCCTTCCTTTTTAAGGCTGAATGATATTCCATTATACTACATTCTGCTTATCCATTCCTCCATTGATGGATACTGGGGTGCTTCCACCTTTTGGCTGTTGTGAAAAATGCTTCTATGCACGTGGGTGTACAAGTAATAATCTCTTTGAGACCCTCCGCAGGCCACTTTTATCCAGCCTAGGGGCCCTTTCATGTACAGTGGTCCTAGAAAGATCCAGCAGACCCCATCTCAAAACCATAGAATTTTGGAGCTGGAATGACCTTCAGAGGACAGCTAATCCAGCCTTCTTTATTTCTAGTGAGTGCCGGGGTGAGGACTAGAACTCAGGTTTGGTGGCACCCAGGACAGGCCAAGGGACCTGACTTGCCTGAGATTGCCCTGCTGTAATGTTTACAAGTTAGTGAGCAAGTGCCAGGTTGTGCATGCCACGTTCGGGCTCTGCTGTCACTATGCCTTTATGTTTCTTATTCTTCTTTACAAGCCTGTTTCCTACAAAGGAACTTGTGCTTTCTCCATAGCATTTCTTTGCTAATGGACTTAGTATGTTTTCAGTCCAGAGCATTCTGTACAGTGCATGTTTAGTGAAAAAATCTGTCCCTGAAGCAGGAGTTCTTAAAATCCATATTTGTGGTTTTTTATCAAATTAATATATGTACATAGCTTTAGGTAGTTTTTGTTATAATTTTTGTTAATGCAGTCTCCTAATTTTCACTCTCCAGGAGCAGACCTTTTCAACTCTTAGCTGTTTCTTTCGCTGTTAACTTCACTGTAGAAATAGCATACTTATTGATCTCTTGCCCACCTCTACCACAGTTCTCAACTTTAGCATTGTTAAACTTGTTAAAATACAGATTGCCAACTCTGCCCACAGAGCTTGTGAATCAGTGGGTCTGGGCTGGGACCCGAAATGTGCAGTTTTGACAAGCTCCCAAGGGATGTGGATGCGCCAGTGTAGGGAGCACACTTGGAGAACCACTGCTCTGTGCCACCCCATGTCCTCTCACTGAAGCTGTGTCAGCTTGGTTAAAACAGCATCCGTGTTTACGTCATTATTATTGTGTTATGTCACTATTAGTCACAGCCTTGCCATCTCTCAGCTGCTCTTACTCATATTCCTTTTTTGTGTGTTTTTTTTCCCAGTTTTGTTGGGATATAGTTGACATACATCACTGTATAGTTTAAAGTGTACAAACATAGTGCTTTGACTTATATAAATTGTGAAATGATCTCATATAGATAAAATAAAACGACAAAGCAAAAAAAGAAAAAAACTTTTTTTCCTTGTGATGAGAACTCTCAGGATTTACTCAGTGAGTTTCGTACATCGTACAGCAGTGCTACCTATAGTCACATGCTGCACATTACATCCCTAATGCTTGTTTCTCTTGTAACTGGAAGTTTGCACCTTTTTCCTGTTCTCCCTCCCCAGACTCCTCACATTGGGTAACCATAAGTCTGATCCCTTTTTTTATGAGTTTGGTTTTTAGGGTGTTTTGTTTTTTGTTTCTCTTTAGATTCCACATATAGGTGAGATCATACAGTATTTGTCTTTCTCTGTCAGACTCATTTCACTTAGCATAATACCCTTGAGGTCCATTCATGTCACAAATGTCAGGATTTCCTCATTTTTTATGGCTAAATAGTATTCCATTACACACACCCCACAACTTCTTTATCCATTCATCCATCGATGGACACTTAGGTTGTTGCCATGTCTTGGCTATTGTAATGCTGTTGTGAACATGGGGGTACAGATATCTTTTCAAGTTAGTGTTTTCATTTCCTTTGACTATATTACCAGAAGTGGAGTTGCTGGACCATATGGAAGTTCTATTTTTAATTTTTTGACATCCTCCATACCGTTTTCCACAGCAGCTGTACCAGTTTACAATGCCACCAACAGTGCACAGGGGTTCCCTTTTCTCCACATCCTCACCAGCATTTGTTGTCTCTTATCTTTTTGATGATGGCCATTCTAGCAGCTGTGAGGTGATACCTCATTGTGGGTTTGATTTGTATTTCACTGATGACTAGTGATGTTGAGCATATTTTCATGGACCTATTGACCTTTCACGTATCTTCTTTGGAGAATTGTCTGTTCAGGTCTTTTGCATATTTTTTAATTGGATTGCTTATTTTTTTTGCTGTTGAGTTGTATGAGTTTTTTATATATTTTGATATTAGCCACTTATGAGATGCATTGTTTCCAAATATTTTTCCATTCTGTAGGTGTTTTGTTTTGTTTTTTCTTTTTTTTTTTTTTGCTGTGCAGAAGTTTTTTAGTTTGACGTGGTCCCTCTTGTTCGTTTTTTAGTTTGATGTATGCGCTTTAGGTGTCATATCCAAAAAATCATTGCCAAGACCCATATCAAAGAGCCTTTTCCTGTTTTCTTTTAGGAGTTTCATGGTTTCAGGTCTTAACATTTAAGACTTTAGTGTATTTCAAATTAATTTTTGTGAATGGTGTAAGATAGAGGTCTAGTCCCATTCTTTTACATGTGAATATCCAGTTTTCCCAGCACCATTTATTGAAGAGACTGTCTTTTCTCCATTGAGTATTCTTGGCTTCCTTGACAAATGTCAGTTGGCCATATATGCTTGGGTTTATTTCTAGGCTTTCAATTATGTTCCATTGATCCATTTGTCTGTTTTTATTCCAGTACCATACTGTTTTGGTTACTATACCTTTATAGTATAGCCTGAAATCGGGAAGTGTGATACCTCCCATTTTGTTGTTCTTTATCAGGATTGCTTAGGCTATTCAGTCTTTTTTGGTTTCATATAAATTTTAGGATTGTTTTTCCTACTTCCGTAAAAAATGCCATTGGAATCTTGATCGTGATTGCATTGAATCTATAGATGGCTTTGGGTAGTATGGACATTTTAACAATATTCTCCCAGTTCATGAACATGGGACCCCTTTCCATTTATTTGTGCCTTCTTTGATTTCTTTCATCAATGTCTTGTAGTTTTCAGAGTAGAGATCGTTCACCTCCTTGGTTAAGTTTATTCCCAAGTATTTTGTTGTTTTTGATGCTATTGTAAATGGGATCATTTTCTTTATTTCCTTTTCAGATGATTTGTTGTTAGCGTATAGAAATGCTACTGATTTTTGTATGTTAATTTTGTATCCTGCAACTTTACTGGATTCATTGATTAGATCTAACAGTTTTTTTGGAGGAGTCTTTAGGATTTTCTGTATATAAAACCATGTCATGAGCAAATAGAGATAGTTTTACTTCTTCCTTTCCAATTCTGATGTCTTTTATTTTTCTTGTCTGATTGCTTCAGCTAGGACTGCCAGTACTGTGTTGAATAGGCGTGGGCACCCTTGTCTTGTTCCCGATCTTAGAGGAAAAGCTTTCAGCCTTTCACCATTAAGTGTGAGCTTGGCTGTAGACTTGTCATATATGGCCTTTATTGTGTTGAGATATGTTTCTTCTGTACCTCATTTGTTGAGTTTTTATCATGAACAGATGTTGAATTTTGTCAATGCTTTTTCTGCATCTATTGAGATGATCATATGATTTTTTTATTCTATTAATGTGATATGTTAAAAAAACAAAATTCAACTGTGTAAATTTGAAGATTTAATTTTTATTCAGTGATCCATGAATCAGGCAGTATCCCATCTAGCAAATAGAAAGGAGCTCCAAGAAGCCTACAAAATGGAAGGCTTTCATAGGCAGGAGGGGGAAAGAGTGCATTGTTTCAGGCAAGGTCACCTTCCTTTAGGGGACAAAAAGGGTCTGTCAGGCAGATGACTTCACTGGTGCTGACCAGGAAATTCTAGACTGACTGGTTAAGATTTCATTCCTGGGGGAGACTGAACCTGCAGTTAAGTATTAAGTCTTGATTGGCTGATGTGGGGCTTAGCACAAGTGACTCCATTTTTGCCCTGTTGTCTCTTTTTTTTCCTTTTTTTTGAGGAAGATTAGCCCTGAGCTAACATCCACCGCCAATCCTCCTCTTTTTGCTAAGGAAGATTGGCCCTGACTTAACATCTGTGCCCATCTTCCTCTATTTTATATGTGGGATGCATACCACAGCATGGCTTGATAAGCAGTGCGTAGGTCCGTGCCCAGGATCTGAACCGGCAAACTCCTGGCTGCTGAAGCAGCACATGCAAACTTAACCGCTGTGCCACCAGGACAGCCCCTGCTTTGACTTCTTTATCATGTTCTTTTGTGTAATTACTACAGTTTTTCCTTTGTGGTTATCATGAGGCTTACATAAAACATCTTAAAATTATAATTCTATCTTAAACTAATAACAACTTAACTTCAATAGAATTCCTAAGCTTTACACTTCTATTTCTCCTCCCCCTCACTTTTTTAGGTCATTGATGTTACAATTTACATATTTTTTATATTGTGTAACAAATAGATTATTGTAGTTATGGTTGTTTTTTACATTTGTTTTTTAATTTTTAAACTAGAGATGTAAGTGAATTGTATGCACCACATTACCATTTTCCAGAATCCAATTTTGACTATATTTTTGTCACTACCAGTGAGTTTTACACTGCCTTCTTATGTTTATGATGTTAATTAACGTCCTTTTACTTCCACTCAAAGCACTCCCTTTAGCATCTCTTGTGAGGTAGGTTGGTTGGTAATGAACTCTCTCAGCTTTTGTTTGTTTGGAAAGGCTTTGTCCCTCCTTCAATTCTGAAGGACAGCTTTGCCAGGTATAGTATTTTTGGTTGACAGTTTTTTTCTTTCAGTATTTCAAATATACATACATGGGGGTTTCCATGTATGTCCCTTCAGTCTTTCACTTGCTTCTTTTAAAATTCTTTCTGTGACTTTTGACAGTTTAATTACAAGTAGACCTCATTTTATTGCTCTTTGCTTTATTTTGCATCACAGATATTGCTTTTTTTTTTTTTTTTTTTTTGAGGAAGATTAGCCCTGAGGTAACATCTGCTGCCACTCCCCCTCTTTTTCTTGAGGAAATCCTCCTCTTTTTGCTGAGGAAGACTGGCCCTGAGCTAACATCCCTGCCCATCTTCATCTATTTTATATTTGGGATGCCTGCCACAGCATGGCTTGATAAGTGGTGCGTAGGTCTGCACCTGGGATCCAAACTGGTGAACCCTGGGCCACCAAAGCAAAACATGCAAACTCAACTGCTGTGCCACTGGGCCGGCCCCAGATGTTGCATTTTTTATAAGACCCTTCACCAGCAAAAAGATTATCATTCACTGAAGGCTCAGATGATGATTAGCAATTTTTTAGCAATAAAGTATTTTTTAATTAAGGTATGTACATTGTGTTTTAGACATGATGCTGTTGCATACTTAGATTGCAGTATAGGGTAGACAACTTTTATGTGCACCAGGAAACCAAAAAATTCACATGACTTGCTCTATTGTGATATTTTCTTTATTGCAGCGGGTCTGGAACTCAGCTGGCAATATCTCTGAGGTTTGCCTGTATAATGTGTCTTGGTGTAGCCCTTTTCGGATTGAACTATTTGGGGTCCTTTGGGCCTCTTGGATCTGCATATCTATTTTTCTCCCCAGGTTTGGGAAGTTTTCAGCCTTTATTGCTTTAAATATACTTTCTGGCCCTTTCTTCTCCTTCTGGAATTCCCATAATGCAAATATTGTCTCTTTTCATTGTGTCCCATAAGCCCTGTGTGCTTTCTTCATCCTTTTTCAGTCTTTTTTTCATTTTGTTCCTCTGACTGGATAATTTCAAATGTCCTATCTTTCAGGTTGCTGATTCTTTTTTCTACATGGTCGAGTCTGCTTTTGAAGCTCTCTGTTGAATTCTTCAGTTCAGTTTTTGTATTTTTCAGCTCTCAGATTTGTTTATTTCTTCTTATGGTGTATTGCTTTGTCAAACTTTTCGTTCATGCATTGTTCTCCTAATTTCATTTAGCTATCTGTGTGTCCTTGTAGTTCACTAGTTTTCTTTAAGAAGATTATCGTGAATTCTTTGTCTGATAGTTGTAGATCTCTGTTTCTTTGGGATCGGGTATTAGAGCTTTGTCAGTGTCTTTAGTGGTGTCACATTTACCTGGTTCTTTGTGGCCCTTGTCTCCTCGTGCTGGTGTCTGCACACTGGAGTCAGTGGGCTCCTCTCCCCGACTTCCCAGGCTCACTTTGGCAGAGACAGATCTTCACCAGTCAGCTCAGTGTGGTTTCTGAACATGTCTGCTGATAATGTCCTTCGGCAGGTGGGCCTGCTGTTAGGGTCTGTTTTGGGGCAAGGCAACTGATGGGCTCTGAAGTCAGGAGTGGGGGGATGTGCCACTGGCTGAGAACAGCTGGATAAGGCTGCTGGCTTGATTCCCTGCCCAAGTGTGGCTGTAGGATGGGCCTTGTGGTTGCCCGGATTCTCTGGTGAGGCTTACTAGATGGTCAGGACTGAGTACTCTACTCAGCAGTAGGCGGGGCTATGAATTATTTTCCCTGCCCTGGCAGGGAAGGGACCCAGAGCCTGCACGGCTTGTTTGGGGACCCATATCAGGCAAGAGTGTACACTGAATATCCTGGTCAGGTGACACCACTGGCTTTGCTCTGCAGGCAGGGGAAGCCACAGGTCTGTGCTTTCTGTTCCAGTGCCACTGGCACCAGGGCTGTCAGAGGGGCTCTGCAGCTTCCCATGTGCTCTGGTAAGGTTCCCAGGTCAGGCAGGCTGAAGGCAGTATTCAGCAGTAAGTGGGGCTATGAATTCATTTCCCTTCCCAGGCACCGTGGGAGAAGCAACTCTAAGGCGGCTAATGCTTTTTGTTTGAGCTCTTGACTCAAGCCAACTCATGCCCCACATTCCCTGGCTGATCAGGGCCACTGGCTTTGCTCTGGGGGCCATCAGCTCTGCCCACCTACCTGCCTCTGAGCTCAAGAGTTGCTGGATCATGCAGCTTGCAGGGGTTCTTGCTGGCCCTTCCTGTCAGAGGCGGCCGGGGCCACACTTGGCAGCAGGTGAGGCTGTGACTCAGCTCTGCTGCCTAGGCATGAGCAGAGCAGGCTCCAGAGCCAGCAGAACTCCGCATGCGCGGATACACACTAGGCAGACCTGCACCCTGCCAAGTTCCCCGGCCAGACTGCGCCCCATACTTGGTTCTGCAGATGAGCAGGGCTGCTGCTTGGGACTAGCACTTGAGCTCTGCAGTCGGAACTCCACCTGACAAGGTCCGAGCACTGGTTGTTGGAAGCCCCTCCCACCTCCCCATCACAATCAGATTCCCAGTGGTTGAGCCCTGCAGATCCGCCTGTGATCCCCTTGGGGTGAAGTCAGAGTGGGGGCTCCCACGATGCCATGGGGCTGGATGTCACCCCTGGGCTCTCTTCCCTCTGGAGGAGCCGCAGGTTCAGCGGGTGTGCCAGCCTAGGGCAGGGCAGCGGTCAGTGTGCAGCTGTTCCTCTCACCTTCTAAGGCAGTCAGTCTTGGTCTCTCTGGCGCAGGGGGTGCTTCAGCCTCACTCCCGTGTCCTAGGATTCTCTCAGTGGTGTCGTGTCCAGGAAGAGTTGTTAGTCGTTCTTGTGAGGAGGAGTGAAATCAGGGACAACCTGTGTCACCATCTTGATGATGTTACTTTTCCTCTCCTTTGTGTGGATTTTTATTCCTTCCGTTTTGATGGGATTTCAGTGGGGAAACCAGGGTCAGTGCTCTGTTTATCCATAAGGCCTGTGGGCCGTGGTTCTTGATGGGGATCTTGGCCCTCATTAGGGGACCCAGTGAGATGAGGACCGCAGAGGTAAGGGGCACAAACCTGTAACAGGCTGTGTGTGTGCTGGCTTGCAGGTGACCCTGTGGAAAGAGTCTGTCGACGGGCAGTGGGTATGCATCAGTGATGTCAACAAGGGCCAGGGTTCCGTGTCCACTTCAGTCACAGAGGGCCAGCAGAATGAGCAGTGACAAGACAGGTGGGGCCTGGCACCTCACCTGCTAACTACAGGACTGCCCCTTCCTGGGCCAACGGACCAAACAGCTGGGAGGAGGAGCTCCCAACTCCACCAAGATGACCTGCCCAGGAATAGTTACAAATGCGACCAGATTAATCATCTGCCTTAACGTGACTTGATAAGGTTTGTAATTTACTGTCCAGCTGAAAGCGTTCATGTTAGGAGGAAAAAACTTCAAATGATCTTCAAGTCTATTGTTTTTTGGCCATTTTTATGTACCTTTTGGGTTCAGGCATTATCTGCGGGGTTTCGTTTCCAAAGTAATTAAATAAACTCATATTGCTTATAATTCTTCCTACATTATCCTAAGCCCTCCCTAAAAAGCTCATTTTGACTCTTGCTCGTCAGTGTACTAAAACAACATTCACCAAGACCCAGGTCCTCGGTGGCCTGGCAGAACCCCCCACACAAAGCCGGCCTGTCACTGTGTAAGCATCCCTGTGATCCAGTTTATCCTGAAGGCACCATCCAGAGCACTGTACACGGAGCACTAGCCTTGGCCCTTAGTGACGGGAACTGTGGCCCTGGCTCTGCTACTTCTCCTCAGAGTATACATCCTCTTCTAGAGAATGAGATTCAAAGACTGCCCCACTCAGGTAAGCTGATGCATGGGGGTGACCCACAAAACGCCATGAAAATGCAGGGTAGTATTAACCAAAGACCAGTAGCTCAGAGACGGGCCAGGAAAGTGGGCACGATTCATTGTTTATTAACCTTGTCTGTGAAAGGAGGGACCTGTGCTGAGGAACACGGTTCTGGTCCTCATGGACCCTGAACCAAGGGTCACCTCTCAGCAGCAGCGCTGGCCGCCCCCCGACTCAGCAGTCACAAGAGCTGCCACTTACTAAGGCTTGCTATGATTCAACACTACACTTGGGTCTGTCACACATTAAGCAACACAACAAACGTCTGTAGATCTATATCCCCAATTTACCAAGGAGGACACTGGCACAGAACATAAAAGACCTGCCCAGGGTTGTCCCCTGCCACATGGTAAAAGCCAGTGTTTGAGTCCTGATCCATCTCAACCCCGAAGTTGGTACTGTGCGCGGTAGCATCAGGGAGGAGGCGTCATCTGGGGTGGTGCTCACACCAGACCTTTACAGGAACACACTTAGGTGAAAGGTCAGGCTGCTCACCTCAGGACTGTGCACAGGTAAGTGTGGACCCCTATTCTACCTGCTCTCCACCCTTTCTTTGGTTTTCACCAGCAACACCCGTTTTGAAATAAATCTTAGATCGTAATACATAAAATGGGAAAAGATAGAAGTGCTTTGGTTGAAGTGAGGATAGAGAGACCAGGGCCCGGCCCACCCAGCCTCCCAAGTCATTCTGCAAGATCCAAGCTCTCAGACAACAGTATGAAAACTGCTGCTTACTTCCTGCCGTTACTCAGATGAGAACAGAAAGGCACCTCTGCATATACTTCTCAGTGGACACGGACTACACTGAATTCTAGTTTGCTCTGCATACATGTCTGCCTTCCCTGACAAACTCTGTGCTCCCCAAGGACAGGCCTGGTCTGCTTTACGGTGCCTGCTACTGTCAACGGATGAATAATGAGAAGGGACTAGTCCCGGGTCACACAGTGGGTTGGTGATAGGTCAGTACGATCCTGCCCACATGCTCTCTTTGTAGCTGATACCACCGAGGATCAGTTAAAATATTCTGGAGGTAAATGAAATGTAAGGATAATTTAAAAGGCATAGAAAGTTCTCGTTAGGGCAAGATGGAAGTAGCAGCCACAATATTTTTTAATCCTTTCACAAAAACAAAGCAACTAGGATAGCAAAAGGAGCCCCCAGACAACACTCAGGACTACCTAGAACCCTAGAACATGAAGGAGTAGGGCCAAACCATCCATAGCCATACAACCTGTGTGGAATCAGCATTGGGAAGAAAATGAGGAGTTTCAGGGGTTCTATGAGCCAGGTAACCCAAGAATAACCATCTGAATAGAAAACTCAGCAAGCCAATGTTGAGAACAACTGACAAAATTAGAAGATTCAAGGCTTTCATTTATAAGTGAGTACAAAAAGACTAAGAGGGAGATTTCCACTTCCACATATGAAGAATTAAGAGCTCTAAGAGTTTCCCTCACACCATAAACAACTAGAAAACCACACAAAATACCTGAAATAACTGCTTTCAGACATGGGACAGCAGGCAGTGTTTGGGAGGAGGGAAACAAGTGAGAGGAGGACTGCAATTGCCCCAGCTTACTGCCTAGAGGCAGTTTCCAGGCCAAAGGGCAGGGAGACAGAATCTAGAGTCTAGCGATCTCACTGAGTTAAAGCGACAGAGTGCAGGAAAGCTAAGCTAGAACTTAGAATGAAGAAGAGAGAGAAGAGGGAGCTGCTCAGAGAGAGCAAGCACCTGAGATCTGCAGAAGGGTCTCCTGGAGTCTGACAATACTACCCTGCATACGTGAAGGGTGAAACTCTTTGTACCTGGAAAGCAATAGACAAAAAATTTCTGGAACTCACAGAGGGGAGTGGAAGTAGTTCATGTTCCCAAGAACTAGAGTGCAACAACCTAAAATCACACTGGGCATTGGGAAGAGTCCTAAGAAAGATTATGCCATCCTGCCTTAATAGTACATCTTAAAGTAGGTCTAGAGCAAAGGCTATGCTGGGCTTCAAAAGCAAGCTTTGAAAGGATCAAACTGACTCACAAATAATTTCACTTTGTGCTAGATAAGAGCCTAACACTCTAAAGGAATAACAAAATTCATCACTTGACAATATAAAATTCACAATGTCCAGCATCCAGCCCAAATTTACCAGGCATGCAAAGAAGCAGGAAAATATGACCCATAACCAGGAGAGAAAAAAATTAATAGACACAGACCCAGAAATGAGAGAGGTCATGGAATTAGCAGATGAGGACCTTAAAAACAGCTGTTATATTCAAGAATGTAAAGGAAAATGAACATAAGAAAAATGGGAGGTACAAAAAAGTTGCAAATGGAATTTCTAGGAATGAATTCAGTATCTGAAGTGGAAAATACACTGTATGGGAGTAAGAGCAGATTAGACACTGCGTAAGAAAGACCTGTTAGTCTGAAGACATAGTAATAGGAACTACACAAACTAAAACAGGGAGAAAGGACTAAAAAATTAGCCAAGCAGCTGTGACCTGTGGGACAGTCTCAGTGTAAAACGTGTAAGTTGGAGTCCCAAGGAGAAAACTTTTAAGGGGGAAAGGAGACTGAAAAAATACATGAAAAACAACAGCCAAGATTTTTCCAAATTGCATTAAAACTATAACCCTACAGATCCAAGAAAATCAGAGAACCCCAAGCATAAGAAACACTAAAACAGACACATATCCCACAATAAAACTGGTGAAATAAAAAAAATTATAAAATTAGCCAAAGAAAAAGAGATATTACACATAGAAGAACAAATACGAGAATGGCAGCCATTTATCCGAATTGTGTGACCATAGGAAAATGAACAAGGGCTGAGAGAACAAAACGCCAGCCTAGGATCCTGTACCTACTGAAAATATCTTTTAAAAACTGAAGGTGAAAAAAAGACTTTTCCAAATAAAACACAGAAGAATGGATCACCAGCAGAGCTGCATTACAAGAAATGTCAAGGGAAGTTCTTCAGGCAGAAGGAAAATAATCCAGGTGAAAATTTGTATCTACACCAAGGAATAAGGAGCATCAGAAAGAGCAAATATCCGAGTAGATATAAGACTTCTGTTTTTCATTTCTTTAATCACTCTAAAAATATTGACTAAAGTGTATTGTGGGGCTTATAATTTACGTAGAAATAAACTGTGACAACAATAGCACAAATAATGGAAGTGAGAGAATGAAAGTCTGTTGTAAGGGTCTTAGAGTATATATGAAGGGGTATCATATTTGTTGAATGTCTACTGTGATACGTTGAAGTTGTATTTGTAAATCCTAGGTCAACCACTAAAACAATAAAGCAGAGATTATAGCTAATAAGCCAGTACTGAAGATAACATGATATCATAAAAAATACACAATACAAAAGTGGGCATGAAAAGAGATCCAAAAAAGGAACAAAGAACAGATGAGGCAAATAGAAAACAAATAGCCAGAGGGTAGATTTAAACCAGACTATATAGGTCATTACAATAAACATAAATGGTCTAAACGCTCCAAATAAGAGGCCCCTGGTAAGAGATTATCAGAATGGATTTAAAAAAACAAGACCCAACCATATGCTGTTTATCTGAAACCCAATTTAAATGGAAACACACAGAGTAAAACAATGGAAATGATTTTTTTGGGGGGCAAGATTAGCCCTGAGCTAACATCCACCACCAATCCTCCTCTTTTTGCTGAGGACGACTGGCCCTGAGCTAATATCTGTGCCCATCTTTCTCTACTTTATATATGGGATGCCTGCCACAGTGTGGCTTGATAAACAGTGCATAGGTCTGTGCCCGGGATCTGAACTGGCGAACCCCAGGCCAGTGATGCAGAGCAGGCAAACTTAACCGCTAAGCCACCAGGCCAGCCCCTGGAAATGATTTTTTTAAAAAGATATACTATATAAACACTAATCAAAAGAAAGCCAAATTGCCTATATTAATATACATATAAACTAGACTTCAAAACAAGGATAAAGAGGGACTTAATAAAAGGATTACAATTCATCAAGAAGACTAACAGTCCTAAATATGTCCACACAGCAAACAGAGCGGCACAAAATATGGGAAACAAGTACTGACGGAACTCCTACAACTGCAGTTGGAGCTCTCAACACTCCTCTTCCAGTAACAGAACAAGGAGACCCCGAAAATCAGTAAGGTTCTAGAATACATAAACAAGCCTATCACTCAGTCTGACATAACTGGCACGTACAGAACATTCTACCCAACAATACTTCAACACATGCTTTTCAATTGCATCTGAAACACTCACCAAAACAGACCAATTTCTGGACCCTAAAACCAACTTTAACAAATATAAAAGAATTGAAATCATAGAGAACATGTTCTCTGACCATAATAGAAGTAAACTAGAAATCAATAATAGAAAGATATTTGGAAATTTAAGCAATACACATCTAAATAACGGGGGTGGGTGGGGAAGTCAAAGAAAAAATTCACAATACAAATAGTCCCCTGCAGGGGAAAAGAAGGAACAGAGTGGAGAGGACAGGGATGAAAGATATGCTGTCTGCAGGTACCTTGTTTTATACCATTGACTTTGGAACCAAGTAATATTTAATAGTTAACAAATAAAATGAAGTCATAAAGAAAAAAATCCCTAAAAAGTGAAAACAATCAATCAAACAAATATATCAAGCCCATGGCATAACCATACTGAGAAAATGCATATTCAAGTGTTTGGACTGTCCATCCCTAGTCAGCGGCATTTGGTAGTTTTATGGTTAGTACTAATTATAGTACTCTTATTCTGAAAGTATTATGTTGGTATTGTAAGATAGAGCAAGATTTGTTAATATAATTAGAAACAAAGTTATTAGGATAAAGGAAAGAAATCTAAGTATAAAACCCAAAAAGTGAAAATACTGTGACCTTAAATTTTATTTGGAAATAACAGTATGAACTCATGACTTATTTTTCTCCTACAAAGTACGTATTTTGATCTCTGTGCACTGAAAAGGCCTAGAAGCAATAATGGTATTGGTTAGAATCCAGACTGTAGTCTCTAAAACCTATTTCCCACTAAAAGAAACCAAGATTTCTTAGAAAGATGGTTGATTCAGGTTGAGAGAGGAAGGACGTGCACAAGATGAGCCCAAATCTCTTATTGGGACAGAAAACGAGGAAGCTACTAAAAACTACAGGGTCTGTCAAAAGCACACAGGAATGAGCTCATCAAACACGGAAGCCTCAAAAAGAATGAGGACTATAATTGACTGAAACACATATAAAAAATCCATGAGTTTATAATAGGAAAAAACTGGAGGTTGCTAGGACACCAGGCTTATTTTGAAAATTAGCAAATAAACAGAAAAAATCATGTATTTATGTTGCCTTTCCTGTACAAACCTGTATATCAAGGTAATAAAATAACTGCTGGAGGAAAAAATGTTAATAAATGTAGAAAGGAACAATAGAATAGAAAATTGCCATTTGTAATCCCTAATAATGGATGTAGACAACAATTATCAATGTTACTGATAAGTTCATTAAGTGAAAAGTTAACAGGAGAACTTTAAAATAAATGGGCTCATGTAGTAACACTGAACCCATGGATAAGTCTTATTCTTAAAACAACAGTAAAAGCAGAGCCAATGGACACTGTATGCCTTGTAATGGGATGCAGTAGTGAGTAAAAAACACCAACAATGAAGTATTCTTGCCAAAAGGTAAAAGTTGAGGGGCTGGCCCCATGTCTGAGTGGTTAAAGTTCCCCCCACTCCATTTTGGTGGCCTGGGTTTGTGGGTTTGGGGCCTGGGTGCGAACCTACTCATCAGCCATGCTGTGGAGGCATCCCACATACAAAAAAAAGAGGAGGATTGGCACGGATGTTAGCTCAGGGTGAATCTTCCCCACCAAAAAATAAAATAAAAGTAAAAGTTGAATCTGAATAAAACTACGTCTCCAGGTGTAATTACCAGTTTCCAAAAAGCACAGGGGAGAGAGGAACAAGTTAAACACCACCACAAGGAAGCAACCAGCAAAGTCCAGAAAGTGGGAAACTATAGAGGACAAATAACCTGTCTGTAAAGTAAACGACCTGGGATGAAAGAGGAGCAGCAGGTGAGGGCACTGTTGCAGACCAAGACCTAAGAGACGCATCAGCCAAATGTGGACTTTCCGTGGATCCTGACGGAAACAAACCGTCTATGAGTTTTATCTGTTAAAGGTACATCCTGAAGATTTTAAGGCTGAATGTACATGATTGCTGGGATTTGCTTTTAAGATATTCCCCAAAAGGAAAAAACAGTGTGGGGGATAAATCTATGAAGCAACATGTTAATAAATGTGGGAGCTGATGATGGGTGCTTGGAGACTCATATTAACCTCATATGAATTTTGAAATTAATTTCAAATCGTTTGAGATTTTCCAGAAAAAGAAATTAAAATATACATGGAGAGAGAGAGTTTATCTTCCATATGGCCAAATATTCTGCTGGAAGCAAGCATTTTATAATCAGAAAGGAATTGCCTAAGATGCTTGTTAAGTTTCAGATTCTGGGGCCCCACTCCAGACCTACTGGGTCAGAATCAGAGGATGAGGCATAAACATCTGCATTCTTTTTTTATTGAAACAATTGACAACCACCTACTTTTCCTTTTTATTTGTTTTAAAAATTGGCACCTGAGCTAACAACTGTTGCCAATCTTTTTTTTTTCTTCTTCATCTTCTCCCCAAAGCCCCCCAGTACATAGTTGTATATTCTAGTTGAGTCCTTCCAGTTGTGGGATGTGGGACACCACCTCAGAGTGGCCTGACGAGCGGTGCCATGTCCGCGCCCAGGATCTGAACCAGAGAAACCCTGGGCCGCCAAAGCGGAATGCGCAAACCACTAGGCCACAGGTCCAGCCCCAACATCTGCATTCTAACATGCTTCCCTCATGAATCCAGTGCAGCTCAGCGAGGTCTGCTCCCAGCAGTTGAGGTTAGATGGCGCTAAAGGCCTCCCTCCGAGCTCCTCTGGTTCTCAGTGGTCCCTAGACCAAGGCCACACTGCCTGCAGCTCTGAGAACAGTTGCAGCACCGTGGTGGAGATGGAAGCCAAGCTAGAGAGTTTTGAGGGGCCAGAATACAGCAAGGAATGGGATACAGGGAAAGGGAAAGGAAACCATGCACGAGGGGAAGGCGGGACTGGTGCAAAATAGACCTTTCCAGCATTCAAGACCTGGGCGTATTTTAAGGCTGAGAGCAGAAGCTGTTGGAGAGAAAGACTGAAGAGAGGAAAGAGACAAACTGTTGGGGCTCCAGCGCCATGATGGCAGGAGAAGAGGGAAGCGACGGTGGGAGAGGCTGGGTTTGGACGGCAGGAGAGACGAGAGAGCGTGGCTCAGGTCATGGGAGTTTTCAGAGTGACGCTCAGGATCATGGAGAACTGTGCCACCAGTGCGGTGGCCACGAGCCACATGCAGCTACTGAGTCCCTGACATGTGGCTAGTCTGAATTGAAATGTGCTGTAAAAATAACATACACATTGGATTTTGAAGATTTAATAAAAAGAAGACCAAGGTCAAATATCTCAATCATTTTTTGTACTAATTACATGTCAAACTGATAATATTTTGGATAGATTAAATAAAGTATATTAAAATTGATTTCATCTGTTTCTTTTTGCATTTTTTAATAGACTCCTAGGAAATTTAAAATTATACATGAGGCTCTTGAGGCTGGCATGATATTTCTGTCGAGCAGTGCTGATCTAGAAGTTACAGAAGCCAGAACTAGGAGAAAAAAGGAACCCCACCAAAAAGCCCTATCTCAAAAGATAAAACCTCTTTCTACAACCCCAAAATCTGCCTCATTCACACTGAGGTTTAGCCAAATTGATAAAAAAACGTGCTTGCTAAGCCAACTAATTATCAGTACAAATGAAATTACAGTGGAAAGTGTATGAAGATGATTTGTTTCCAGATACCATTTACATATAACAGTCAATTCCGTCATGATGAGTCTTTTTCATCCGCTCACTAAGGCAGGCCCTCGAGGCCCCGAAATGGGAAGGAGATCACCCGCCAGCAGGCCATCCAGAGGAAGCGTGTGTACTGAGCACCTGCTCAGCTCTGAGGATGCATCCACACTCAAAAGGAATGAGGAAGAAAAGGAGCCAGGGGAAAGTCAGTCCTTTCCCCAAGTCACACGGCCTTCCTCCAAACTCCTCTTGGCTCAGATTTGCATACATTTCCCACCTTCCACAGCTGCGAGTGGGCAGTGTGGTACTTTCTGGGCGTCGCCTCCACGGCTCTGACTCCCATCAGAGCTTCCTTCCTCCCCCGACCAGCCTGGACTCTGTGGCATGTGGTTAGGGTGGTTTCCAACTCACAGGCGACCTCTCTGTTCCGCAGAGATAGCACAGCGAGCACTGGGTGTTTGCTCGCTGGTACTGTTATCTAAGATCAACACTGGCGGCTCCTGCCTCCAGAGGCCTCCAGGGTCAGGAGGCTTTGTGTCTCAGTAGATGCCTTGGTCACCACAGTTGGGGTTTTCTGGGTCATCTTTTTTGCGGTGGCGGGGGGGGGGGGTTCTGAAAAAGCTGCAAGTCTTCTCTGAGGACTTGAGATTTCTCCGCACCCTTCTCCCGCTTCAGCCCTTCCGGGCCTGGGGCCAAGAGGTCTAAGATCAGGCGGCAGACAAGGGTGAAGGCGTCCTGGGGACATGCTTACATTCTGCTGGGACTGAAGGAGGGATTCCGGCCCCACAGCAGGCTGGTGATGGTTTCCAGCAGGAAGGAGTCCCCCACACTCCACGGAGGGCTCGTCCAGCCCCCCGCTGCCTCCATCATCCCTGGAGTCTCTAGAAGGCTCCGGTGCCCCTGGATCCACCTTTCAGTTGGGTGGTCACATTACGGCCAGCTGTCTACCACCTCAGCATCATCCTAACCGGCCGCCCTGCCCCAAGCCCAGGCCGCAGAGCAGGCTGATTTTCCTGGAGCACCCGTTCACTGTGAAAGTAGGGTGGCACGGCAGACAGCCCGCACTGGGGTCAGGAACCTGGGCAGTCCCAGCATTGCCGCGGAAGGTTGGGCGGCGTTGGGGCAAGTGTGGCCCTTTCGGTGTTCAGGTTTTCCTCCAGTGAAATAATAATCCTTGGGTTGGAGCTTTAAGGCTGTGCATAACCTGACCCCGAACCTCCTTCTAGGCCTTTCCTTATAACCCCCATCACTGCCACTCTCCTCCAAGCCACCCCGCCTTCTCATTATTGTCCAGACATTCTACACCCAGGCCCTTCCTGACCTCCCAGCCCAGGGTGCCAACCTGAAGCGAGTCCCTCCTCTGAAATGCTAGCATTTCTTTGTAGACAACTCCCTGAGCCCTCAAGACTCACTGCCTGGCCATCCAATTAGACGCAGCACTGCGGACAGGTAAGGCATCCCCGTGTTAATTAACTCTTGCTCCGGGAACACGTGACCGTGGCGTATGCTTGCAAGCCCTATGGGCCTGGTACAAAAATAGTGTCACCTGCATGACACTGTACAGGTTACACAGACACCCTTCGCCTCATTTAATCCTCAAAGCACTGTGAGAGGCAGCCCTGAAGCAAGCGGGATTATTAGTGACCTGCCTAGGGCCAATCAATTTATGAGCAGCCACCTGTGCCAGTACTAGGCCACAGCTCTTCTGCCCAGGTCCCATCTGTTCCCTCAGAACCTGGCTGGGAGAAGGGGCGGCAAACCCACATGTCAAAGAAACACCATGCCAAGCAGTCATGATGCACCAGCCAGAAGACGTCTGAAACAGTCCCTACGCCTGCTCCTGGGAGAGGAGGGTTCGGAGCTTGCACTGCCGGCCCCTCAGCAGCTTCCTCAGCTGTACACAGGACTCCCCCAACTGGGGAGGTGTGAGAATTGCAGGAGCTGGGCTCTCCCTGTGCTCCAGAGGTTTGGGGAGCCAGCACAGCACCGCTCACAGAGAACAGCAAGTGCTGGGAGATCTGGTGTGGATAAGCTCCTTCTACCGGGGAGCAAGGGAGTTTCAGAAAGGGAAGCAAGCAAGTCACAGAGCAGCAAAGCCGGCTGGACCCCTGAACCCCTCCCCGGCCCCCCACCTAAATCAGGCCAGGCCCACTTAGGGACAGCTGGAGCAAATACACCACCCCAGGGCAACCCAGCAATCTCCCAAGACATTTGACCTCTATTGTTGATTTCTACTCAGAGGAGTGAGCGTTTTTAGTGCCTCAGGAATGTAGATCAGCCCCCGGAAGCGGGCTGCCTGAAATGGGGATGCTGTTTTAAAACAAACATGCGGCTTCCTATATAAGAGCCGCCCAACCACCAGGTACCACCTCCGCCAGGAATCCCAGGTAGGCTCTCTCTCTCGACTCTTCACGTGAGGGCTTGTCTCCAGGTTTAACTCACTGTGCTCGCTGGCCCATCTGAACAAAGGGAAGGCTGCGCAGCCTCGGCCACCCGGCTGCAGAGACCCAGCGGGGTCAGGAGCTGCCCCAGTCCCCCTGCGTCCCTTGCTGGTTCAGCTTCATCATCCCTGTTGAGAAACTTGGCACAAACTCCTTGGGGCCTGGGACAAACAACATGGGGAGTGCCAATGCCAAGCATTCTGCCCTAAACCAAGAGCCTTCGCTTTACTGGTACCTTGGGGAGGGGCAGAGGGAGCTCCTCTCGAGGGGTGGGAAGAGCTTCTTCAGTAGTCACGATCCCAGGTTGGACGGAGCCGCCGCACCCTGTCTGCTGGGCTCCTACCCACGTGAGTTCTGAGGCACAGGGAGCAGGGAGGGCACGCTGCCTACAGACCCTCTCTCCTCCAGGCCCATCTGTCCCCAGCCGGCTAAGGCCATGCCCTCCCGGGGGACCATCTGCAGCCTGCTGCTCCTCAGTGTGCTCTGGGTGGACTTGACCATGGCGGGCTCCAGCTTCCTGAGCCCCGAACACCACAAAGTGCAGGTGAGACGTCTCTCCACACAGCCTCACATCCTGACTGGGGTGTCTCGTCCCAGCCCTGCCACATGGCAGCCGGCTGTGCAACCTGGGCAGCGGCCCTACCTCTCTAGGCCTCAGCCTTCTCCCAGAGCACAAAGGAGGACTGTGGGTCTGACCATAGGGCCATGCCTCACTCTGCTTCTGGAAGGATATGGGGCTCAGGGCCCTAAAGAGAACGCCTCCTTTCTAGCACAGAAAGGAGTCCAAGAAGCCGCCAGCCAAACTGAAGCCCCGAGCTCTAGAAGACTGGCTCCCCTCTGAAGATGGAGGTCAGGCGCAAGGGGCAGAGGAGGAGCTGGAGATCCGGGTAGGTCCCGCTCTCTAAGTTTTACGCTTCTGTGGCACTGGAGGGGCTGAGGGAGGGGAAGGCAGGGGAATGGCTATGAACAGGGACCTACTTAGTAGCTACTCAACAAATATCAAATCGCACGACAATAGTTGACTCTGCCCCGGGCTCTGCAAGGTCTTTGCCCATCAAGAGGCAAATGTCTGAGAAAAGTCACTTTGCTACAACTGAATAGGAATGACGGGAGCCCTGAGCAGAGGAGGGGGGCGCTAGCAGACGCCAGGGGAGCCAGCAAATATGGCACCAAGAGACAAAGGCACCCAGGGAGAAACAGCTGGTCGTAGATGGAAGATGCTTCCCCACAGGAACTTTCTGGTTGGCTCAGGGGCCTCGCAGGCCTTCGCTGCGGCTGGGGCATTCCGAGACAGCTCCCTGGACAGGCGAGCTCCGGCGGCCTGGCCCTGGTCCTGTCAAGGAGGACGGGGCCAATCAGGCTGGTTTGGGCTCTGACACATGGTGCGTGGGGCAGAGAGGAATGGAGGATTCATTAAATGCAGACAGACAAACGAGAGGAGGTGGGGAGGGGACCGTACAGGGTTATCTACGCAGCCTCCCTGAAGGGCCGGCGGTGGCTCCGGGGAGGTTCCGACAAGCTGGGCAGTGAGCCAGCTCCAAGCGCGAAACCAGAACCGCCCTGGGGCGGCACTCACGTGGCGACGGGGCTGCGGGGCCTGTGTCCCGAGCCTTCGCTTACGAAGCTTCTCCCCTCGCTGCCTACCGTTTATGTCTACAACACCTGGGGGGTAAGGCAGCTGAGGTTTCTGCCCTCCTTTCATAGACCAGGAACAGCGGTGCAGACGGGGGACTCACGGCCCGAGGGGCCAGAGCCGGCGCGGCAGAGGGGGCTGGGGTCGGGCCTGACTCCGGGCCCCAAGCCCTCACCGCCTGGCACACAGAGTGGGGGCACTCCCGCTCACCCCCTCCTGGTCGAGGCCAGGAGGGAAGAAGCTGAAGCGTGTCCCGCCATGGCCTCCCCTCCCTACCCACCAGCCTCTTCTCCCGTCAAGGAGGAACCCACCTGCCTCCGACCCTCACCAGGACCTCAAGGCGCTCAGGCACCTCGTCCACAGCACGTGTGGACTCCCAGCCCAGCACACGCCCGCCCCATGGGCTGCAAAGCCTCCAACTAAGACCGGGAGCTCCCCCCGTGAGACGCCGGCTCCCGCCCGCGGTGCCCGCCGCAGCCAGAGTAGCTCTAAATTAGCTGAGATGGGGAAGAGGTTTCTGTGGCTGGTGACTCAAGGCAGGGCTGGGACAACTGGAAGGTTCCAGTTTCCATGAAGGTTGGCCTTGGACGAAACAGCCGCACTGCCTCAGCTAGAAGCAGAAGTCTGAAAAGCCTGGACGTGCTGGGGCGGCCCGAGGCAGGTGGGGCGGGAGGCCTGCAGCACGGCCGGGAGCGCGGCACCTGCTCCCTGACCTCTCCGGTGCCGGGGTCCCCCCGCTCTCATCACAGGCCCCCCACCACCCCAAACACCTGCTCCTAAAATTGAGCTTCAGAGCTGGAAGACTTGAGACCAAGTCCTATCCATTCTCCATTCCCCCCGCACCCCGCTCATCCCCCACTGAGGAGGTGAGACCCTGAGGCCAAGGGGGCCTTCTCAGGTCACTCAGAGCAGATCTCCCAACCCACAGCCACCATGCCGCCTCTCAACTGCCCCTGCCACCAGTTCCAGGCTGCCAGACGAGCCAGCAGCTCCCCAGATTGGTGCTCATGTGGTCCCTAAGAAGTCTGCCCGGGGGGATCTGACCACCCCACGGTAGCCACAGGGGTGGAGGAAAAACGAGGAGGTGCTGAAGGGAGGGAACAGGAGGGCCCAAGTTCTCTAAAGAATCGAGCACGTCATTCCCCACTCACTCCACCTTCACCGCAGAAACAAGGCGGGAGGTAAACTGTGAAGGGGAACAAGCAGCGGTTTGCTGCTTCAGTAACTTCTCCAGGCACGTTTGCCCACTTGGAAAACAGGAGTCATAGTGGTACCGGCCGGTGGGGAGGCACCGAGGACTGACACAACGCGGAGGAAGGGCACTCAGCGCGGGCTGACCAGGGTGAGGGCTGCGCACCGGGCGCTGCTGCAGCACCCGGGCTAGACGGGGTCCCAGGGCTGTGGACTCGGGGCCCTGCACTCTGGTGCTTGGCCGCCAGCCCCCTCTGCGGCCTCGGTCTAGTCGCTGAACTACTCTGGGCCTCTGCTGCTGGAGGGCAGGGGACAGAAGGACCAATGACTTAAGGCTCCTTTCAGCACCAAGGTTCCTTCATTTGTCTTAATGACCGACACGGCCAGGAATGAAGGCAGCTGCGGGATGAACCGAGACCCGTCTCTGCTCTCAAGGGGCGGGAACAACGCTGTGGCTGCCAACAGGGCTCTTTCCCATCCACCCAAAGCTCTAGCGCCAATAACCACCTCATAGAAGGCCGAGAAAGTAAGGACATGGGCACTGCCCCCGTAGAAGGGAAGAAGCGGAGGCAGAAAAAGAAGAAAGGACTTGGCTCGGAGCATCTCTAGAAGGTCAGCTTCCTGTTGGATTTCCCATGGAACCAGGAAAGGCACACAAGAGGAAGAACACCGGGGAAAGGAGGAAGCGGCGGTTGCAGAGGGGACGCGGAGGCCATCCCCCAGGCTAGCGCTGTGCACGCCGGGTAGACCACTGCCCCCAAGTCTCCCTGCCAGGCACGAAATTCTACCACTGGCACTTCAACCTTATGTGTCCCCGAATTGCAAGAGGGCCAAAACTTGATCTAGGGGACCTCACTTTTTTTTTTACAGCAACCTCCTTAGAGCTAAGGAAAGAGTGCAAGGTAAGTCTCTAAAGATGGTGGGGGTGGGAAAAAGGGGTCTAGAAAGGCCGAGGAAACTGAGCTGTCCCTCAGTGGTGCCTGCGGCCTCTCCCTCCCTGCTCCTCGGGTGAGACCCTGAGGGCCCTCCTTTGGGATGGGGGTGCGTTTGGGGGAGCAGTGGGAGAGTGTGACCTCTTGACACCTCCTGGTCCTCCCTGCCCCTCCTCCTAGTTCAACGCCCCCTTTGATGTTGGAATCAAGCTGTCAGGGGCTCAGTACCACCAGCACAGCCAGGCCCTGGGGACATTTCTTCAGGACATCCTCTGGGAGGAGGCCAACGGTGAGTCCTTGCCTGGGTCAGGTCAATTCAGAGTGTCCTCGGAGTCCCAAATGTGAGCCCATCCCCCGGGTGACACAAGAGAAGCTTTCTTCCCACACCCTGACTCTCAGACGGGGGGGGGGGGGGGGGGGGGGGGGGCGGGGGGAGGCTGGGGGGGAGGCGGTATCTGTGCGGGGCTGGGCTCAGTCTTCGTATTCAAGGGGCACCAAGTTCCGAGGACTAGCACGTTAACTAGCTTTGGGGCCCCAGTGAACCCCAATTTCCTCAACCATAAAATGGAGCCAACAGCCACTGTGAGAACATAAAATTATTTGGTGTCACAGCTCCTTTACTGTAATCACTTCACAAACAAAAGGAATTAGTGCCACAATCGCATTCAAAATGGCTCCGCAGCCAGGTAAGGACAGGGTTGGGTTTTGTTTGGAAGACAGGGTTGCGTTTTGTTTGGAAGCCCCTCCGGCCTTGTAAAAAGAAACCACCCAACAGGTTCCTGGGCCAGGAGGCGAACAGCCCTTCGGAAGCCCACTGCCATCTGCAAGGCTCCCTCCCCAACACCACTTCTCCCCCATCAACCAGGGCAGGGGGGGGACAGTGCCCTGCAGTGCAGATAAGGACACCAAGACTCAGAGTTTTAGGGGACTCGCCCAAAGCACACAGTCCACACACCAAGGTCAATGCTTTCCACCCATTACAACACAGCACCTCCAATGTCACCGCGGTGGAAGAAAAGCCATCCTTGATGCCACTGGCAGGATGGCAGACTCCGAATTTTGATCTGACCTCGTTTTTTTCAGAGGCCCCGGATGACAGGTGATCACCCACACGACTGGCCCACCTCTTTCTTTTCCTCCCAACCTTAGAAGCGCTCACCCGGCTTTTAGATGGCTTCTGCAACAACTCCCAGCTCTGAGTGGCACTAGCTTAGGATGTCAATAAATGTTCAAACTGTATGCTGAATGTTCAAAATGGGAATTTATTTCACCAAAGAGGAAAATATTACATTTCTCTGAAAACAAACAATTCTTGGTCTGGGGCCCATGGTCAATGGGAATAGAAAAGGATATGCAGCAAGGCAGGTGTGCATGCTTAGAAAACCAAATTAGACCAACGCCTACAAGCAGATAGACCACTGGTGGAATGTATGACAGGAGGGGGACGGGGAGAGGAAGGGGGAAAGAGGGGAGGGAGCGAGGAAAGGAAGGCAGAAAGACAGATGTTCCTTTAAATATCAGAGATTCCTGAGTGCATCGAAATTGCATTGAGAGCTTACTTACAATCAGCAAGGACTGTGTGGACAAAGAAACCCCAGGTGACATTACCAGAGCCAACATGCCTTGAATTGACACTCAAGATCACAACAGGACGGGGCCGGTCCAGTGGCACAGCGGTTAAATGCGCACATTCTACTTCTCGGCGGCCCAGGGTTCACCGGTTCGGATCCCGGGTGCAGACATGGCACGGCATGGCACGCCATGCTGTAGCAGGCGTCCCACATATAAAGTAGAGGAAGATGGGCATGGATGTTAGCTCAGGGCTAATCTCCCTCAAAAAAAAAAAAGATCAGAACAGGATGCTGGCAATGCCAAGGCATGAGTCTGAGGCTATACACAGGTGGACGCTAACAATGGCTACCAGCCACTGCTGGACAGAGCTGAAGTAACTGCTTCTCCTTACCTTGTCCACCACCGACAACACCACCGACACGGCCTGGCAAAGCAAATGCTGCCTCATGTGGGCAAGGCTGGCCATTGCCTTGGCTACTTCAGTGATACAGGTAGGCGTCCCAAAATATGTCCAACTCCAGCTCACACCTGAAGTGAGCCTTGGTCCTTAAGTTCTACAACTTAATTCAGTGAAGACACCAGTCTTTCTAGGGGGAATGTCACTTATCAGTCATTTACACTTCAGCGTAAACAAGTGAACTGATTTCTGAGAGCTGGTGATGACAGATGGGTGAATCAGTAAGGGAAGGGAAAGGCAAAGAACAAGGAGGCTCCAAAGATAAGCACTGCTGACCTGCCCATTCAGACATATGAATACCTACTAGAGATCTGTAGGACACTCCTCTGCAGAGAGTTAGGGTAGTAACATCCACACTCTGGAAAAGCCTCTATCACGGAGGGCTCTAGGAGCCAAGTATCTTCTCGAGTAAAATTCTGGCCACTTGGCACTCAAGGCACAGCCCTATGGGCACTAACCATTGATCAGACTTGGCAGGCACACCAAAACCCAACTGCCATCCCTAACGGAGGAGCTGCACGTGGCCTGTGAAACGTCACCATCTTCTGGGAGCCTCTTAGAAATGCAGACTCTCCGGCCCCAACCCTATTATATCAGGATCTGCATTTTAACGAGATCATCAGGCTATTAAATGGCTTATATAAAGTGGCTTAGAGGCAAGGATCCTATTAGGCAGCACAGCACACTGCAGAGCCACACTACCCCACCTGGCATAGAGCAAGTGTTGACTCTCATATAGAACTCTTTAGAAAATTCAGACCTGGCCAGATGGGGCCCTCACAAAACTGAGAACACATGGAAAAGGTGTCCTGTTTCCTCTTTAACATACCATCCCCCACCTCTCTAGCCCCAGCTGTTGTCAACTCCATGTCCATCCCTTGGGCAGACCACACACACACACACACACCCTTCCATCTCTCAGATGACTATATACACATACCTAACATAGGACCACACAGTGACTTAGTCCACCAAGTCTTTGCTTCCAAAAGCATCTGCCTTTAAGCCTCAGTAATAATCAGATTGGAAGGTGTTATCACCATTAAAGGAATGTAAGGTGTTAGAGAGCAGGTGAACTAAGCAGAGAGAGGGGGGAAGGAGAAAGGAAGTAGAAGTGGAGGGAAATGACCTTCTCCAGCCTCCAGATAGCCAGCCCCCAACTTACTCAGCCCCCTAGCACCGGTGCAGAGACTAACATGCTGTCCTGGAGCTTAGCTACGCCCCAGCTTTATGGCTCATCTCTAACCATGCCCACAGGCCTCTTCTCAATAGCTAGAGAGAGGGATCCAACACCCGCACGTGGTCAAAGCGGCCCAGGAAACCAGCTCCCGACTCAGTGAAGCAGAAGCCACCAATGGGCTCGGGGGAGGATGGGTGCCAGGCCCTGGGGGGAATGCTGGTCACCTGATGCTTCCTCCAACAAAGACAAGGGCTTACTCCTCTCTCAAAGGACTCACAGCATTCTCTCCTACTTGCCTAGGTCCTTCACTCAACAGATGTTGAGCACCCTCTGGACCAGGCAGCATGGTGTGCTGGAAAGCTATGGGCTTCAGGCTCAGACCCCAATTTCAATACCAGCTCTGTGATCCAGACCAAGTCATTGAATTTCTCAGGCTCCTCACACGTAAAACACCTACCTGGGTTACTGTCAAGACTGAACACAGCATCTCCCATGAGGACGCCTGGCATATAGTAGCCATTCTAACAGCCATCATGCACCGCATTCCTGCTGTGCACCACGCATTGAGTTCTAGACTTACATGTAATTAATGTAATTCCAGTTAATTTTCACAACAAGCCCACGTAAGAGGGAGAAAACTAAAGCTCAGAGAAATTAAGTAACTTTCCAAGGTCACATAGCAAACACGCTGACTACTCATATTCAGACTACAGTACTCAGGCTGCTTTTTCATATTCTACTCTCTCAATCAATGTCACTTCTCTTGCCCTGCTGCCTAGGATCCAAGGGATTTCTTTTGCTTCTGTTTTTCATTTTCCTTCATAATACGTTGGGTCAACCTGGAGTGGGCTGAAGACAATTTCAAGTCAACAATTGGCAGAAATAAAATTTATCCAAGAACCAGGACACACTTGAGAAAATTTAACATTTCAAACACAGTGCCACGTCAGCTTTCTGAAAGCTCCTCCTCCGCGCATCATTTAGGGATACCACTAACTTAAGGTTCTCTGAAGCAGAGTGTATTTACCCCTGGGGCGAGTGACATATTTGCTGGAGAAAATACTTCTCTTCAAAACCACTTTTATTTTATGCTTTAACATATCTAGTACATTAGGATAGCAGCACACTTACAGGGGTGTGCTCAGAAATTCTCTTACGATGCTGTGCAAACAGAAGACACAGGCCCACGCCTGGCCAGCTTTCCTAATCTGAATACACTTCCAAACGTCACTGACAAACAAGCATTTAGAGTGATCATGGGGGCTGGCCGACCACTATCAACCGTTCTCTGCCATCGTTTTTTGACAGAGTTTGTTCAATCACTGTGTATTTCAGTGGCCATTTGCCCTTACTTTATAAAAATGAGTGAAGTAAAAATGAAAATGCTGACAGTAAATAATTAATGTTGGTCTCAAACTTAATACAGGAAGATGCAAACACCAGAAAAGCCAAGAGCAGCAGATCTCCAGCCACAAAGAGACTGTCACTGAACGGACGAGGCCAACTGTGTTTTGAACTGGGAAGGAACTGAGAGGAAGTGAATGAACATGCTGCAAATTTAGAGTCAATGACTGTGTCTCAAAGATGAAGAATCCAGAGATTTCAGATTTGTTTAGCATTCCTGGAACACAGCCCTCCTTCTTACGGGTTTACTTTTGGCTCGTGCACTTGTGTTCAAGAACACCTTAGTCCAAAATTAAGAGGACTGACTCCAAGTAGTGAAACAGAATTTCCTGCCAAGTCTACACAAAGGCATCGAGGAGTTCACATCCAAAGCCTACAGTACGACTGAGTCCCCCACACCCCCTCATACTCCATTTTTCTTCCTCCTACTGCACTGCTCTGGAAAACAAAGAAAAGGTATCTACATACTTTTCAAAGGCTAAGAAGCAGGAGTACCTGAGTTCCCAGGCAGTATAATGAAAGCCAAGTTCAAAGGCAGCAGGACTTTAAAGAAGGTACCATGCATTCTCATTTCCAGTTTAGTTTTGCCAAGAGGCATGTATATCCTCGAGAATGTCTCCAGACCTTTGGATTCTGAGGTTATAAGGCTGGCCGACAACTAAACCATTGTCATCACTACGAGAAATGCAAACACACATGGAGAGCATGGAGTTGGCTGAAGATCCATCACTTTATTTTCAGAAAGAGATGGCCGGGGGGGATACAGAGGCATTCCAGCAGCACAGCAAAAACAATCATGTCAGCCATCCAAAAACTGAATCAAAGCCATGCCGGCCAGCTTCCATGCCCACACAGGTGTCACTGTGTACCAGCAAAGACAGGATACTCCCAAATCCTGGAGGAAAGTCTATAGCACCTTGTGCTTTACCTTGGCAGGGAGTCCACACAGGCTCAGAGACATCCGCTGTCACCGCTTTCAATCCTCTAACAGGACTAGCTGGTTTCCCGAAGAGGCAGTATTGACTTGTAGGGCTTGTTGTGAAGGAGATGGATATGCTGATGTTCACCTGGGTGTCAATAAAGCACCCTGAAATACTCAGCAGTCCCCCAAATCTTCCAAGCAGGAGAACTAGGCCCAATTCCCCACACTGGCAAACTTGAGGCACAAACAGCTGATCCATGGAAGGTCGACAGTGAATCAAGGCCTCCTTCCCAGGCCAACGACTTGTGTGCCAGGGCAAGACGGAAGTATCAGATACGACACGTTCAGTGCACTCCCTCTTACTTTACAAGGCTCAAGTGGGCCTTCCAAAAACACCTAGAGGACTCCAGCCTGAGTGACGGATTATACACCTTAAGCTGCTGGCCTCCAAGAAACAGACAAGGGACTCAGGGTGGCCTTCTCACCGTGGGAGGTTGGGGTAAAGGACCCTTTTGGACAAAGTCCGGTGTCCTCACACTTGACCCTTGACCACTGTAACCTTCCAGGGCCGGTAATGAATACACCTTTACAAGGCACCAGCAGGGAGCAAACACTCAGAACTTGAGATGACCCAGCTGCTCGAAAGTCAAAGAAGAGGCTCTCACCTCCAGCATGGAGCAAGGACAGAGAGGAGGCAAAGGCAAAGGAGAGCCCAGGAAGGGGAGAAATGTATAGACACCAGGCCTGCTTCTCCTGCAGAGGCAAGAGAACATGGCTGAGCAGCCCCAGCAGAGCTTCAGAGAATTAAATTGCTTACCTCTAAACCTAGATGGGAGCAAACAAGGGGCGGTTATATAGGATCAAACGGGAGGAGTATTTTTGGTCCAGTGCTCCAGAAGGGGGCAAAAATGGAGCAAAGGGCGGCTAGGACCCGCTGAGAGCAGACTAGAGGTAGCTTCTGCTGCACCCTGGACCTTTATCAGTTTAACACACCCAAGCTGCAGCCCTGGGGGCATCAGGAAGTGGGAACACTTTTTTTGGGGTCCTCTTCCTCAAGAAGCCTCTACCTTGACTCCCCAAATCTGTCTGGATCGCCATCTGCCAGGACTTTCCCTGGTCAGCGAACACCCCTCTGACCCTCCGTGTTGATGGCAGTGGAACCAGTGAGACCAGCAGCTGAGGTCCTTTCGCCTGTGCCAACGCAGAGCTGATGCAGCAACAGTGACAGCCACACTGCAGAGTTATCCAGGGAAGGAAGGGGGATGACTCCATGGGTTGCAGGAAAATAAACTTCTGAGGCAGGTCTCCAGTGACTGTCCCACAGAGGAGCTTTCCCACTTGGGAGTTCATTTTTAGCACTGAGAACCAGGAACGAAGTTACACGCCCACATGTACTCAGACAGTAGGAAGGGACTTTATTCACAGACTGGTCAAAAACACAGGCTGCAGAAAACAGGGATGTGGACTGGCAAACCTGTTGCACCCTTCCATCAGCCGCTTTCTTCTTCACTGACTGCCCTGGAGCTCTGTGGCCAAGAGGCAAAACCCACCCCTTGTCCGCCTCTACTGTGCGCCCCTCCCCCTGCCCCCCCACCAGCCGGAAGTAGAAGCCTTATGATGAGGTTTCAAGGAAAACATCCTGCCTGGTTTTCTCCACTCCAATGGGCTCTCCAAACACATCCTTGACCCGGGACACAGGCAGAGTTCAAACCCAGCCTATGTTCTGTCAGGCTGCTGGTCGTCCTGGAGGGTTGGGAAGAGAAGAGGAAGAAAGTTCCAAACCAAGTTCGCTTAAGACAAGTCAGGCTTAATGCTCACCCTGTATTTACCTTCTCTATATTAAGAAAATGCAGCAAAAGACATTTTTAAAAAACATATAATGTGAATTTTCTGACCTTTTCTGGGAGACTCCTGATGGCACCCTCTCTGATTAAAGGTTGTAGAGGCGACTGGTGTTCTCACGCAGAGTGGCCAAAGTATGGGAGAGTGGCTGATCTTTGACCCTGGCAATCTCTCGGACTGTATGCAAAGCCAGGCCTGGGTGGGCATACTGGCAGACGCTTCTGGGAACCTGGAAGACATCAAGCATTCAGGACATCACTGAGCCTTCTGTGCATAGCCACTAGTCAGAACTCCCTCCCCGGCCCTTCCCCGGCAAGGACCTCTTTGGGGCTGCCCTGTAGAGACCCCTTTACCTGCGGGTGCAGGAAGAGTCCTAGTCATGGGGGGCTCTGGGTGAGCAGGGTCCCACGCTTCCTTGGACTACCCTCTACAGGGTAGGGCTTTGCACTGCCTGGAAGAGAGTGGTTACCCTTCAGCTTCTCAGCCCCCTAGACTTTTGGTTCTGCAGAGAAACAATGAGGAGACATCTACACAGCCAAGGGTGGGACCTGGAAGTCACTGGGGCTCTGGCCCTGCCATCCTTGTAGGGGACACCGCCCACCTCCCCACCCTCTCTCCTCAGTGCCTCAACTCAGCCTGAAGACACCCCCACCTGTCGAGGCAAGAAGTAGGGCGCGTCAGTTTCCACGATGATCCTCTCCAGCGGGATCTGCTTCAGGGCCTCCCGGGCCTCCCAGGCAGAGGAGTACGTCAGCACCGCCGTGAAGCCCACAGACATGTTGGGGAAGTGCTCCAGCAGGGGCTCGATGACCGGGTAGCTGCCGGTGAAGCAGTGCCTGGAGGAGGAGAAGTCCGGATCAGGGCGCTCTCAGGCCCCTCGCAGCAGCCCCCACGCCCCTCTAGACATACTAGCCCTTTTAAATTATTTTCTGTGGATAAATCCCCAGAAACGGAAAGGCTGCAACCAAAGGAAGGGCTCCACAATAACCACAGACCTGGTAAGACCCACGATGGCTCTTGGTGAGTGCTGCTCACCCATCAACCCCCAACACTCAGAAGACTACACAGCCACTTGAAACGGTCACCAGGAGGAACACACAGCAACAAGACACGGATACGGTACTTATAACACAGAAAGGGAAGCAGAATTAAAAACTGTGGCCCCTTTAAGATTATGACCACAACAGGTAAAAATTATGTCCATGTAGTTAAATGAACCGGAAGGAAACAAAAAAGAAAAATACTAGACAGCGGGACTTCAGGTGAATTTTTTCTCTTAATCTGATAGCTGTTCATGTTCTTAGTGCACATGCGTTGTAAACCGATCTGAAACTGAGCGCTTCCTCCAGCCACAACACTTCATTAAGCCATCTTAGCCTAGATTTAGGAAATCTTACACATTAGATTTCCTTTAAAGTCAGCTCAGAATCAAACCCACCCACCCAGAAGGGCCTGGAGACTGTGCTTCCTCTCTGGGGTGAGCTCCCCAGTCACAGGTCAGATCCTCTGATCTGAAAGGCTGCACCCACTTCTGCTACCTGTCAAGACCTGGACTGGGCTCTAGACTCCTTGTTTTTTCAGTTAACTCATCTCACTCACCTTGAAAGAGCCAGCCAGGCGACACCTTCTGACCCAGTTCTAGCCAGGCTAAGCTAACGGCCCCTCTCCTCCGGCTCCCACAGCTCCTCCCGGGTGCTCCTGAGCCAGGCCAAGGCCCAAGACAGGCACATGGAAGGAGATCAGAATTCAAACCGAACTGAAGACCCTCCAGATAGCACTCAGATAAAACACACCCCAAACTTTAATGGGGGGATGTGGGCTTTCAAATTCAAAAAGGAAGAAAATTTCTTTTTAGGTGCCCTGGAACGTTCTCTGTGCGCTAAGTCACCGGAGTGCCAGCAAGCTCTCCCAGGATTAAGAGTCCTCACCCTGAGAACCGAGACTCCATTTCAGCTTGCCTCCTGGGACAGGAGGCACCAAAGCCCCTTCTCGCTCACTGGGGATTTAGGGTATTAGCTCAGACCATATGAAGTTGCCGTTTTATAAGTAAAAAATGGTCGAATATCAGAAATTTCATATGGTTCAATCTAATACCTAATATTTAGAAAAGATACTACACAAAGACACAACATTATCAATGTTCTCCCGAGTTTTCCTTTTTCCAGCTATGTCCAGGACAGAGGGAAGTGTTCATTTCATTTGCCCGCTGAACCGCTCGCCTTCTAACCTATGGATCTTGTAGTCTGAGGGCACAAATTTTTTCATGATGCTCAGCAGATCTTCGTCAGCTTCTCGGCAGTGGATCACCAAGGGCTTCTTCAGAGACACGGCCAGCTGCAGCTGTCTCTCAAACACCTGGAAGAAGACAAAGTGACACGCCAATGGACTGGGGCCACTGCAGAAGTCCGTCACCTCCAGAGCATCCAGTCCAATGGGCACCCCCACTGTTTCTAATTCTGTATTCTTAGACTATATAATGCGTCACAGCTAACGCTTACTGAGTGCTTATGACAGAGCCAGGCAGTGTAATCCTCACAAGCACCCTGAGGGAGTACTGCTGCCGGCCCATCGTGCAGTCGGAGAAACTGAGGGCCCGAGTGAGGTCAAGGAACTTGCAGCTGGGAAGCACAGTGCTACGATTCAAATCTGGCAGTCCACACAGCAACTACTACACAATGCTTGTCTGGGGGCCAGGGGCAGGGCAGGGCCCGGAACGTAGAGTACAAGTTAAATGTCCTTCCCTTCATTGCCCCCCTCTACTCCCACTCCCAAGAGGTACCCACCTTCCCACCTCTTCCTATGCAAAGGGGTGCACACACACCCCTGCACAATGCCTGGTGCTCAGAAGGTGCTCAAATTTTTGTGGAAAGAACAAATATTATATATATTTTCTGTAACTTGCTGTCTTTACTCAACCAAAATCGGATATCCTTCTAGGTGAAGACCTACACATGTACTACATTCTTTTTCTTTCTTTCTTTCTTTCTTTTTTTCTAACTCTAGCCACTTCTAAATCTTCATTAGTAAAATACACATGTTGCTAATAATTTAAATGAAAAAAGTAGGGCTAGAACTCATTCTTTTCTCTAACAAGTTCAGGTTTAGAACAAAAACAAAAGTACTAATCCATTATAAACAAATTACTTCATCTTAAACTTAATGTTTCCATGAGTGGTTTTTTCAACTGTGGAACATAATTCATCTTTGCATTTTTAACATCAAACCATAAGATGCTCTTGGTGACCTGAGACAGGCGATCCTCACCTGAGAGTGACATTTTCACTTCTAACGCTCATGCTACCTCCTCGCAAGATAGCAGTCCTGTGCCAATGCCAATTCTGACAGAACTCTTGTTTAACCCGTGTTTTCAACTAAAGGAAAATTACCCTAGGAACCAGAATCAGAATTCTTGCCAGGGGCTTTAAAGACAGTCTACAGCTGGCTCGACCCCCTGTCTAACACACCTGCCCTCCTTGGACCCCACGGAGGCAGGAGATTGCAAGAGAGTCTAATTCCAACATTTAATTCCTGCTTCTAAAAAAGAATTCCTTAGGGTAGTTAAATCATGATAGCCTTAAGGTGGACTATTACACAGCTGTTTAAAAGCATATTTTTCAAAGTGTACTTAATGAAACAGGAATATTTTCACCAGTGGAAAAAAACATTCAAAACTATTACTTTCTTTTTTTAAATTTCCTTAATTTCTTTTTTAAAAAGCATGTATATAAAACACAAATTTCCTTAATTCTATGACAGGACAAGCCACCAAGTGTCCCTTGTAATTCTCCAAGGGACAGTAACATTAAAAATACAATATTTTGTAAAACACATCCAAACTTCAAAAATGTTAAGATGGAAGAAGAATTCGCTGGAAGCAGCGGCTAGGTTAGGGCTATCCAGAGCACCTGCCCTCCCCAGGAACCCAGCAGGAAAAGAACAGAGTGAATGAAGTGCAGACCATTATGCACCCAGCAGAAGCTTGCTTCCCGGATGCATTATTTCCAGGGACTCCAGAGTTAACCAGTCTCTCCAGGGGGTGGCCCAGGAGGCTCTTGCATGCTCATTACCTCAATAATTAATTCCAGTCAAACACAAAGAGAGGCAGAAGTAGCCTGGTTCAACTAGCCCAGGTGGGGAAGGACAGTCCATCTCCCTGGCTTTCGAACCCCAGATACCAAGAGATTCTGATAATACACTGGTCGATGTGAGCGACTCACACACGAACTACCCAGGACTCTTAGGAGTTAAACAGTAAGTTCAATGGTTAAACCCATGAACACACAGATCAGCAAGGAGAAGGCTAACAGTGGTTTGCTCTGGGTGGCAGGATAATTACTGATTTTTCCGCCCAATTCTTTTGCTTTTCTCTATTTTGCAATCCTTCCAGAAAATATGCGGTAACGGAACCCGAGCTCTCTCTCGGAACAAGCCAGAGCCGGCACTCAATCATTTGACCAGATACGGTCCTTCCACAGGCTCTTCTTCCCTTCGCGAGATAAAATGTTCCGCAGGACACATCCACACCTGCCAGCCACTCTGCTCTTAGGCAAATGCGCCTCGGCGCAGCTGTCCGCCCAGCGCGGCCACCGGCCACCACCTCTTCTCCGCAGGCCACCACCACTTCTCGTTTGGGTGCTAAAGTTTAGATTTACAAGAACGTGGCAGCTGCTCTCTCCGTCCAGGCGAGGAGTCTCCGGTGTTCTACAGAAATATTGTCTTCCCCCCTGCTATGTGCCCTCCCCCTGCCAGCAATTTATTTCCTCTGAAGCGTCATTTTCCCATCTATCTGAGTTCCATCTCACCAAGCCAAATCACACCCGCAAGATTTTATCACCGTGTGCCATCACAAGTTCAGTCTGTTGTGCAGCAGGGCCCACCCACCTCTAACTGCAGATCTGATACCATAACGATCAGAAAGGAAAGGAAAAAGGAAACAACCAAAAAGGAAAAAGTCACTGTGAAATACCTAGCTACCTCCTGGCACAGAACGGGCATTCCACAGCACCAGCTCTACAGAGAATCCGTGGTGCCCTCCGTCCAGTCGCCCCAGGAGACACATTCCGGAACTGTCCCCTTTCCACACCACGCCTGCCCTGTGCCATGGAAACCAGCTGGCAAGGCAGAATAAATATTTGTTTCACTTTCTTAAAAACCTATTTCTTTCCATGTCTTCAGATTTAGCTATTTTTCCATTCACTTCTGGCTAACAAATCACCACCCCAAGCTAGAAATTCCAAGTGTCCTAGTCCTGATAGTGGAAAGGAAGTCTGCACAGGCAAGAGGCTGTCTGAATGTGCAGGACAAACCTAATTCTGAACAGAAACACTCCTTCTACCAGAAACTCTCTAGACCCAGCTGAAAACTGAAAACACCCACCAAACGACATCCCACTTGCTTGTCTGAGTGCAGACCCCCAAGTGGAAACCACCGTGCTCTGGATTTAGCAAGCTTGACAGGTCCTAGCAAACTCATCTGAAAGGTCGGAACAGCCGAGCTTGTTTCTTGAGTAAATTAACGGTCAAGCTTCGCATGCTTATGGCCTGTCTTGGACAGCTGTATTCAAATTGGAATCTGTACCTCCTATAAATCTGGAGTCGCCTGCTCCAGCAGAAGAGCACTGATACCTTTGAACTTTCTCTTTTTGGTCAAAGGAAAAATAAGAAACCACTGGCTCTGAAAGATTCCTTGTCTTAAACATTCATACAGTTAACCACAGATGCAAGTGTCAATGGGGCACAGCATCAGTGTACTGTGGAGGCTGACCCAGCTGAGTGGGGGACAGCACCAAAAGGGTAAGCTGGTGTGCCCGGCTCTGCCCAGGCTGGAATCCACGCAGCTGCTCACCAAGACCTGGAGCATACCGGCCATGCAGATCCAGACCTAACAGGTGCACACAGGAGGACAGCATACAAGAAATTCAACCTGGCACCATGGACAGTGATGGAGTGGGAGGGTCTTTCTCCTTGTCCTGCTCCTTCCCAAATCAGAAACTTCCACTGAAATGCCACAACTACTCTTACACTGCCAGATCTCCAGGCTCAAAAAATATGGGGAGGGAAAAATATTAAGATGGTAAGAGTTGTTATCTCTGGTGGAATGGAAAATTATCTTCGTTACACATTTTTGTATTTTCTAAACATTCTACAATGGGCATACTTAACTTTAAAATCAGAATAAAAATAAATTGGTTAATCAAAAACAAAATTTGTTGCTTCCCAAGAAGGAAGGAAGACAAATGTTTTGACATTCATATCATTAGCCATAAGAAGTCACACAGTACGCCCCTCTCCCACATAATAAAACTGAAAGGGATACAGCTTGTGAAGCATGGGACAAACAACCTCTAGCTGGTCTGGATAAGAGCAACTGAATTTTTACAGATTCTAAAGTCTTCAGTTCCAAAAGTAGAGAAACCCGCATTGTGAGGTTTCAACAACTAAGAGGAATTAAAACCATAAGAAAGTAAAGAGAAGCTCATTACCTTGTGCTGCTCGGGCACAGGCGTGGTGCACTTGTGAGAGTAATCCAGGCCCATCTCCCCGAATGCCACAGCTTTGGGGTGCCTTAAGGCTTGCAAAAGATTTCTTTCTTGAACATCACTGTAGTAACGTGCAAAATGAGGGTGACAGCCAAAGGCCCCCCAAACCAGATCCTCTTTCAACAGCTCCTCCCACAGGCAGTCTGTCAGAGTCCGAGGATCGCAGAAGTCAGAGATGCAGCCCTGAAATTCCTTAGGGAAGGAGCTGCTATAAATTTTTCTGAACTTGGTAAAGGTCCCTTTGAAAGACAACTTGGAATAGAGCATGTCCAAGTGACAATGGGTATCGATGAAACCCTCCTCTGGGCTGGGCTCCCGATGGCTCCTTGGCAGGGAGCTAGACCCATGTCCTCCACAAGGACGCAGTGGCGTCTCCTCCTGGAATGTCCGTCTCTCCTTCAGCTCTTCTTCTTCCGAGCTTCTGGAGAAGCGCGATGAACGCGAATTCTGGGATCTGCCCTCCTCTGTGGCCACCAAGTCTCGGGAGGCGTTGTGGGAGCTCACTGTGGAGTTGGGAGGATAATCACTCAGGAGGCCCCGGCTGCCCCTCCCAGCCTGCGATGTGTCATTGCCGCTGCCGCTGCCCACAGAGGGGTAGCTGGAAGGCTTGGGACTGCTGGTCCAATAGCTGGCATAGTCACACCAAGGACTACTGTACAAATGAGCCGGGTACATGACATAGTCAGTGGGGAAGGCAGAAGGCTCTGGAACTGCTGGGAGTTTCAACGAGACAGGCTCCTCCTGAGAGAATCTGACTGTGGGGATCTCGTCTACATCGGACCAGTCACTTCCTGAAGAGGTGTGCTCTAGCACCACCTCCCTTTCTTTAGGCTGCAGAAAGGAAAAGAGGACAGGGTGACCCTTCCTATGTAAAGACGGCCTCCCACACTCAGTCGTCTGTGGAACGGAAGCCCTGGCTGTTTTTTCTGGCCGTGGTGAAGGCTTTGCATTGGCCCACTGGCTCACTTTGCACCTGGTTTCCTTATAATTTCCAGAAAGGTTACAGCTATGAACAGTCATATCAGGTTCAGGGAACAACTTGTGACCATGGTCTTACAAGGCTGTCCCTAAAGGGGATGCTACGCCCGCCCGCCCTTTCCAGTGAGCCCTCACGAGAAAAACTGCTCCCTAAAACACACTGTGTATTTGGGATTTTCGAGAAAAGCAGGGCCCAGCATCTCATTGCTGACATGTCTCTAATACATTCAAAATGTAAAACAACACAATTGTGGCAGTTTTAAGATATGTTCACAAATTCTTTGACACTACGTCCCGTTGAAAGGTGGAATCTGTGACCCCACCCCTTGAATCTGGCCAACCTAGTCACTTACTTGTACCCAAGAGAACGAAGAAGTGATACTGTGCAACTTCCAAGGCTAGGTCAGAACAGCCTTACAGCTTCCTCTGGTTCTCTCAGCTTGCTCCTCTGGGGGAAGCCAACCACCAAATATAAGAAGTCAGACCACCCCAGACGCCAGGCTGGAGAGGCCACGTGTAGGTGCCAGCAGCAACTACCCAACGTGTGAGTGAACATCCTGGACATGCAGGCTTGCTGAGCTTTCAGACTGCAGCCTCCCAACATCTACTGGAAACACATGAGACCCCCAGGCAGGACCTGCCCAGTCGGGACCTTTCTGAATTCCTGACTCATAAAATTGAGAGAAAACAGAACAGCTATTTTATGCCACTAGGCAGCAACAGTAACCAGAACCACCTACACATCGTGTTAAATCGATGTAGCCCTGCTGGAACCTCAGTTCCACATGGTCAGGAACTTTTCTTTTCCTCACCAATGTCTCCCAAACACCGAGAATGATGCCAGGCACATACCACGTGCTCATAAATGTTGGAATTAATTTCCAGAATAAATGATGCAATGGTTCCTGAACTTATTAGCTCCATATCAGAACCACTAGAGCGCCTTTGAAAAACAGCTTTTTAAGGCCCACTCCACCCTGAGGTATTATAACTCGGTAGGTCCAGAGTGGGGCCAGGGAATCTGTATTTAATTCTCCATATAATTTTGATACAGATCAGGTTTAAGAATACAGTAAACACAGAGACTTCAACTCATGAAAAAAAACAAACTGTGCTTAAGTGCCCTTGTTTCGTCTGGTTAACGAAGCCATTTGGTCGACCAGCACCAGATGACTTGACCCAGAGACCCTACAGAGCTCTTTTCTTAATATTTTTATAAGCAAACACAATTCATACAACATAACAAAAAACTCACTATGAAAGAGCATTATGGATATAATGATTACCTCCTTAAAATGAAACAAAAAATTTCTGTTTCTATTGCTTATACTAATGTTCCACACCTCTGTCAACATTCCAAAAGGAAACAAATACTGGTAACAAAAATTCCAATGAATGATAAATTTCCCATTTGACACTTTCCCCACTGTAGACTTTTCCTAATACTGCTCCCTTCCTGAATAACAGAAATATCCAAGCAAGAGCCTTTTCTAAAATGCAATACAACTTCAATTGCAGCACATTTAAAATTTAATCTGAAGCCCTGAAGCTGGGTAATGGGGACCTGGGGCACTCGTTACACTAGTCTGTTTACTTTGAATATGTCTGAAACTTCCCATAGAACGTTTTTTAGAAGTTAATTTCAGGGGGCAGGCCTGGTGGCCGAGTCACGGTGAAGTTCACACGCTCTGCTTCAGCGGCCCAGGGATTCACTGGTGTGGATCCTGGGTGGACCTGGCGCTGCTCATCAAGCCATGCTGAGGTGGCGTCCCACAAAGAAGAACTAGAAAGACCTACAACCAGGATACACAACTGTGCTCTGGGGAGCTTTGGAGAGGGAAAAAAACAAAAAACGAGGATGATTGGGAACAGATGTTAGCTCAGGGCCAATCTTGGGGGAAAAAAAAAAAAAGCAATACTTCCTTCAAAAGAGCAGCTGAACATTAAAACAAAAGTTAATCTCAGGGCCAGCCGGGTGGCGCAACAGTTAAGTTCGTACATTCCTCTTCGGCAGCCCAGGGTTCGCAGGTTCAGGTCCCGGGTGTGGACATGGCACCACTTGGCAAGCCATGCTGTGGCAGGTGTCCCACACATAGAGGAAGATGGGCATGGATGTTAGCTCAGGGCCAGTCTTCCTCAGCAAAAAGAGGAGGATTGGCAGCAGATGTAGCTCAGGGCTAATCTTCCTCAAAAAAAAAAAAAAGAAAAAGATGTACTCTCTTTTATTTGAGGAAGACAAATGACCCCAAACAGACCTCAACCAAGCTAATTTTGGATGCTTACAGAGGTTCCCTAAATTCATTTTTTAAAACAGGAGGGGAGAGAAGAAGCAAAGAAATGTAACAGATTTAATATTTATTCCTGGGGACATGACCTCACAGTTCTGTGTGGATGTCAATTTTAAGAAACTTGTTTTAAAGATCACTTTTGGGTTGTTTTTTTTTAAAGATTTTATTTTTTCCTGTTTCTCCCCAAAGCCCCCCAGTACATAGCTGTATATTCTTCGTTGTGGGTCCTTCTAGTTGTGGCATGTGGGACGCTGCCTCAGCATGGTTTGATGAGCAGTGCCATGTCCGCGCCCAGGATTCGAACCAACGAAACACTGGGCCGCCTGCAGCGGAGCACATGAACTTAACCACTCGGCCATGGGGCCAGCCCCGGGTTTTTTTGAAGATCACTTTTCTTTCAGTGGTTATGCATAAAGATACACTGAAAAAATACTCAAGAAACTTATAAGGTGGTATCCAGGTGAAGGAACAGAGCAAGGCAGGGTCAGACTGGAAAGCTACTTTTCACTAAATACCTCTTATTTTTAATTTTTGAACCATCAAAATATGTTTACTCAAAAAGCAATCTAAAAAATAAGTGAAGGTGGTTACATTGTGGCAATCCCAAAAATACACCTCTAGAAAAAATGAACAAACTGACTGAATGTGATGGGAACAGCTATTTGCAACCTGGGATAAAATTTCCAGGGACAGAATCACACAAAGATTCAGAAAGTGCTACATCTTGAGAGCAAAATCTCAGCCGCAGGAAGCTACAAAAGACGCTGTTTTTTACAACAAATAATTTATAGCTCAGGGGCAAGGGGAGCAATCTAGAGACTGAGAGAGAACCTATTTAGAAATTGCATCTTACGGCTCTTATTTGGGTCCTGTTTCAAGTTAAAACAATCACGAAACAAACAGGGAAATTCAATCACTGACTGGCTAGTCGACATTAAGGATTTTGTGTCTATGAGATAATAAAATCGTAGTTATATTTGGGTTTTTTCCTAAAGATCTTATATTTTTTAGAGATGCACACTGAAATATTTCTGGATGAAATGATTTGTTAGCTGGGATTTGCTTCAAAATTCATGGAGAGAAAAGAGAAACAGAGACAAAACAAGACAAGACTGGCAGTGAGGCAGAAATTGTTGAAGATGAGTGATGGGTAAGTGGGTAATTTTCATAAATGTTTTAAAATGTCCATAATAAAAAGTTAAAATAAAAATAACAAAAATTGGAATAGAAATCCAACTCAGATGGAAGGGCAGATGATGTCCGCTGGCTGCTTCTCAAACTTCTCTACCATCCAGGGGTATTTCTTAAAAAACACCAATTCCCAGGTGCCAGCTCAGACCTGAGTCACTCTCTCATTCTTATCAAGAGGGAAATCAGGAAATCACATTACACGACTCAAAAAGTAACTCTAGTGACAACAAAGCCCATGTCAAAGACACACTGAAAAGGCTTAATAAAATTATTTAATAAAATGTGCAAGTGGGAAAAAATGGCAGAGCAGGGGGAAAAAAAGTGATTTCAAAAATGCACATGTAACTGGAAATTACCATAAACATACCATATCATACCATAAACAGACTTAGGATTATGTTATCTACGTCCTTGAAAGGCTTATATACAAGAGGGCCAACAAAAGGTTTTTGGATTTTCTTTCTGGGAAAATGGAAGATTACCTATATTCAAGATTGCCTAGGTTGACACCCATGGTAAAACTGAAAGTTACATTTATTGAGGGCCTACTATATACCAGGCACTGAACAAAGTGTTTTCATGTATTAATTGAAGGTTCAGGAAACTGAGACCCACAAGCCAAATCCAACGCACTGCCTGTTGTTGTAAGTACAGTTTTACTGGGACACAGGCCCACTTACTCAATACTGTCTACAGAGGCTTCCATGCTACCACAGGAGAGCTGGACAGCTGCAACAGTGCCTATGGCCCACTAAGCCTGAAATGTTATCTGACTCTTTCTAGAACAGGTTAGCTGATCTCTCTCTGAGTTTAACCGTGATAACATTTGAAGAACCATGCCTTTTTACCAGAGGAAGAAACTGGGGCTCCAAGAGGCTAAGTGACTTTCTCATGATCATAGTTCAGGTGGCAGAGCCAGGATTTGAACCCAAACTGTCTGATCTCAACTCTCATGTGCTTACCTACTATATCATGCTGCCTCCAAACCTACAACTGACAGAGACAATCTGAACATCCAGTCTCACAAACAGGAGTTCAGGTATAGAGGTTTGGAAAGTTTGTCCATACGACAGAATTCTAGGTAGCCAAACAGGATGGTGATCCACGCTAGACAGGAAACACGGCCATTAAATATTGAAGGGGCAACGTAGGTTACAAAACATATGTTCTTGGGATTTCCAACTAAATATAGCACACGTAGTTTCTGTCCTTCCTGTCAAAAAACCTTTTGAAAATTATAGGAAATGGACTTGAAAAAGCATAAACCTACACAGAGAAAGTATACAGAATAAACAGCAAAGCAAATTAAATAAAAATTAGATGCCAGAGAGCAGACAGATGAATAGTTATTGGATAAGCAGATCACAGACGGCCAAACCTAAGGCTACAGTGAGAAAAACCCAAAAACAGGCTGAATCACACTAAAGGACCCCAGAAAGACTCAGGAATTGGAAGTTCCAGACCTCTTAAAAAGAAGGTGAAGTTGGTGATGAAAATAGAAGACTGAGCTGGAAGTCTGCGAAGTCAGATGCCAGACCCCTGCTCCCACCCTGTGCAGACGGGTCTGCCCCTCCCCCCCAGCAAGAGACTAAGGTTCACACTTGGAAAAGTTGAACCAGGGAGCCTGTGGAATAATCAGGGACACACAGTCGAGGGTGAGGGACCATCACATGTTGGACAGTGAGAGCCCAGGCACCTCCTTCAATCTGACTCCCAGAACACTGGCGGCCAAGTGTGTGCCTCCCAGGCAGAGGAGTGGAGGGTTTCTCCCAGGGGACATGGAGCAGCCTCTGAGGATCGAGCTACAGACCCCGATGGGGAGCAGAATCAGCCAAAGGCAGCGCCCTTTGCTAACCCTAGCAGTTGATCGGCCCATCCACCACTCAGAACTTCCAATCTGCTTTCTAATGCTTCACCTTTAAATACAGACAGACAGCCAAGACATCTGAGGAGAGCCCGACCACAAATGATAGAGACCAAAATGTTCAGGGGAAAAAGCAAAAAAAGAATCAGAAGGAAACTCAGAGAAAGCAGTGCAGAAAGCAGAAGAAAACTTCAAAACAAACCTATATAATTAATATTCTCAGAGAAAAAAGAGAAGGTATTGTAAGCTCAAAACAAGAAGTGGATGTTCTAAGAAAGGAATACTCAAAACCCTAAACCAGGGTTCTTAGAAATTAAGTACGTCAAAAATGAAAAAAAGTACCTATCATTACACACACTTATCTTAATTACTCATAAAGAAAGCAGAGATGAAAAGAAACAGGGAAAAAAAGAATCTTAAAGAAACAATTAAGGGAGGTACACTTTCAAGTAAAAAATGGGACAGATTACTTATTTTGACAGTATTGAGGAATATTTTATGGCACAAGCAGTTTGGGGATAAATTAGAGACAGGTACAGAGAAAACTAAAGAAAAAAAACAAGCGCTCTCAAGCTTTGTGGAAAATATGTCTTCTCCTTCATGTGAACAGAATACTAAGTTGAGAGTGTTTTTCTCTCAGGACCTTGACGAAATTCTCCCCTTGTCCTCTGGCTTCTATCACTGTCGTTGAGAAGTCTGTCCTCAGTCTTCTGTAATGATGAATTCCAAGGAAAATAAACTTTTACAAGAAAGAAAATGTAATGAGTAGGGCTGGCCCCGTGGCCGAGTGGTTAAGTTCACACACTCCACTTCAGCAGCCCAAGGTTTCACTGGTTCAGATCCTAAGCATGGACATGGCACTGCTTGTCAGGCCATGCTGAGGTGGCGTCCCACACAGCAGAGCCAGAAGGACCTACAACTAGAAGATACAACTATGTACTGGGGGGGCTTTGGAGAGAAGAGTAAGGCAAAAAAAAAAAGATTGGCAACAGATGCTGGCTTAGGCGCCAATCTTTTAAAAGAAAAAATGTAATGAGTATACCAGGTGACTCAGCTCTGAACACGGTGATGATAAATCTTAAACAGATTTAGTCAAAAACTGCATTACAACAACACAGGGAGCTGCAGGAAGAATATGTTTATGGGTGTGGGTCCTGCCAAAGCAAGTGAAGAGAACTAAATTCTCATCTTCCTGAGTAGGAAGTCCACAGATGTCTAAAATTGAAAAATCAATACACGGCAAAATTACTTAGAAATATGGAGGTAGTACCAGAAGAAAGGGCTGAAAGAGATAAAGGGGCTGCCTCTGAGGCACAATTATAAGCTATGTTAAAAACGGCTAGTTTCCCTCCAAGATCACTGTCTCCTTCTATAGCAGAAGTTGATCTGGGTGGAAGTCTGCCCAGATGGAAGTTAATCTTCCAGACTCTCTTGCAGCTAGGTTTCGGCCAGGTTTCTAGATTCTTGTCGACAGATACGAGCAGATACGATGTGGACAGCTTCTGAGCCAAGCTCTTAAAAGGGAGGGAATACACTTTCCTCTCCTCTTCCTGCTGGCTGGAGTGTCAATGTCACGTACTCTGAGCCCCATCAGAGTAGCCATCTCAGACCACAAGATGGACACTGTGTTGAGGGGCAGCAGAGCATCAAGACAGAAGGCATCAGGGTCCCTGACACTGTGGAGCCATCCTCCTTAAGCCAAACTTCTATTTCCTTTAAGCCACTGTTATTTTGGCCTTTGTTATGGCAATCAAATCCATATCCTAAAAACATAATTCCCCCCCCAAAAAAGAGCAGTGAATTGAGGTTTCTTAACTCTGAAAGATATGTTAGAAGAGAACCATCAACCTGTCTCCTTGAGTCCTGGGTAAGTAAAGTACTGCTTTGTATGAGTACCACTTAGGATCAAATGAGAAAGACCAAATACATTTAATCAAGAAAACTAAAAACCCCATGCCTGGCATGAGCTTGACTCACCTTTTGGCTTTCTAAATGAGAGTCAGAGTCATCCAAAAACTCTAGGGGTGGAGAGCGCTTGTCAATGACTGTCCTTCGGTCCCCAAGTGGCTCCTCAGTGGGGTTCTCCTGAGGGTCTATCACCACTCTCCTGTCGCGGAAGCTGCTCCCCTCCAGCACAGGCTTTTCCTCCTCCGCTCTGACGTCTGGGGCTGACTCCCTCTCTTTCTGAGGAGCAGACACACTGACACTCCTGGCTGGTCCTTCTCCACAGCTGGGACGCTCTCCGGGGCCTGGTTTTGCCCTAGTGGCAGCCTCTCCCTTCCTTTTTGGCATCGACTTTCCCAGAATGCCCTGGATAGCCTTCAGGTAGATCACGGTAGAGCCTTGGTCTCGAAGTCTATCCCTCTTCCTTTTCTGGACCTTGTTAGGTTCCTCAGTCACCTCATTCTGACCCTCAGCTTCAGCTGCAAATTCAGAGTTCATGGAATTACGAGAACTATCTTTGGAATCAACCTGGAAGAAAAACCAGAGATTATGAAAGGCTGATTTCATACACAAAGCATGTAGCAAATGAGAAATCAGCAGTGGTTCCACCACTCAAAGGGAAAGTAACAGTGGCCATGGCAAAGATTCTCTCTGGGTGGTGGTTTCCATCCCAGCCACTGAGATGTGCCACTGTAAAAGGGACTGAGTTGCTGCCATCTCTTATATTTACTTTCTTGTGCTTATCAGATAATATCCTCAGCCTGCACTGGGAAGGAATGAGCAGAGATCAACAGTCCAGTAACACAGGACTGCAAGCTCCACGAGAGCAAGGATTACCACATGCTTCAGAACACACACAAAACAAAAGCTCAAAATTTTAGCACTGGAAGGGGCCCTAAAAGCCAGCTAACCCACTCTCACAAATTGACAGTCAAGGAAACCCCAGGGCCCAGGAGGAGCAGACCCCAATCTCCTGAGTCCTGAGGGCAGTGTGCTTCCCGCTACACCCCAGCGTCCTTGAAGTTCTCTGCAAACTCTTTGCCCAAATCAAAACCTTGGTGTTGGAAGGTGCCTTGTTTCCCAGAGACCCACATCAGGGTCAATCAAGAGACTCTAATCACCCCTGACTCTGACCCTCCTCACAGGTACAGGTGAGGTCTCAGCCCCTTTCCTCTTTTCTCCCCGCACCCACTCACTGCAGAGTCCATAGGGAAGAAGCTAGACTATTTGTTCACAATGTTAATTTGCTGTGAAACTCAGATCCAGTCTAACCCCAGCCTGGTGTGAGAATGCTCCATAAACCCTCCCCTAGAACCATCCCCAAAGCAGTGAAGGCCAAAGCTCCCCAGCTGTGACCTGCATTTACCATCACCCCAACGCATCCCACAGCCCCCACAGCTTGCACTTCTAATTCATGAGTACTAAACTCCTCTCAAACGTACGTAGACTTAGAGAAAGGAACTCCACACTAAGCTTGCTAATCCTTTGCCTCACTGAGGACAAGGAGAGTCAACCCAAGAGACATCCATCAATAAGGCAGTGGTTAAATAAAGTAAAAAGACGTACTACCCAACTTTTAAAGGGAACAAGGGAGCTCTGACGGCCATGCTATATAGTAAGAGTAAAAGCAAGTAGCCAACTGACAAGCACAGTGTAATCTCACCTGGGAAAAGACAAAAATGCTTTACATGCATGCGTTCACAGATGAAGTCTAAAAGACAAAATGTTTCTAATGGAACAGACACAGTGGCTTTGGAGATTAAGGGGAAAGAGGAATCAGGACCAGAGCTCTTATTTCATAAGCTTTTCATATTATTTGAATTTTTTTTCCTGAGAAGCACATAATGTTTGCTAAAGAAAAATCACCAAACCTTTGGAAATATGTAAACCTAGGTGGTAGTACAGGCATAATATTTTTTCCTAGAAGCCCTCAGATTGTTGGCAGCTATTGACTTTGGGAAGACAGACAGGACAGGTGGCTTACACTCTCACTTTGAACCTCTCTGAATTTTCTAACATGTTAGATATTTTAAAATAATATCTAGAGGGATTATCTGAGAAAGAAGATTTGGGCTATTTTTGTTTTCTTTATACCTTTATATATTTAAGAAAAATCTAACAAATGTTAAAAATAAACTTGAAGGCTCCCGGACCTGCCCTACGGGAGACAGCCACAACTTCCCAGCCCACTTCTCCCCTGCTCACTTCTCCACCACCACCCACCTGCCATCCCGGGCCCATCACACCTTCTCATACCCTGTCATCCGCATGTCTTACTTCCTCCACTTGCGATAGCTTTGCCTCAGCCTCACTTCATGCTTGAGAAACTCCTAGTTGTCCTTTAAGGCCCCACATCCCTCCTTTGACTTCTCCACCTCTGCCAGTGGGACCAGCTGCCCCTTTGCTCGTCCACTGCCCAGGCCAGGTGTCAGACAACATGGAAAGGTGAGGTCTACAGCAAACTGAGCAGCCCCTGCACCTTCCGAAGGGCCACAGCTCCTCACCGCAAGCCAACTGCTGCCACTTGGGGGTACAGACCCAGAGTCAGAGATTCTGGTTTCCACGTAAAACAAGAAATCTCAAATGTAATGCGTTTTTCATCCAGTCAGCAAGCATTTGTTGACCACTCACCATGGGACAGCAGGTACTATTCTGGATGTGGGAGTTTAGCATTCAATAAAACAGACAAAACTGCCTGCTTCCTGGACCTCATTCTCTAGTTGACGAGGGAAAGAAAAAACCAGAGGAAAGGTAATATATATGTTAGAGTGAAAAGTGCCAGGGAGAAAAATAAACCAGGGAAGGGAGCAGAACGTGGGGAGGCAGAGGGGATCACTCAAGTCTTCTGAGTTCAGGGTAGAGGTTAGGACTGGAGGCATAGTATTTTTAGTGTTAACTTTCCAAAATTTTAAATACTGAGAGGACCAAGCAGGCCACACTCATTGTTTGGACCACCAGTTTGCCAACCCTGGTAGAGAAGACCAGGATTGTCCTTGCAGGAGAAAAAAAGGTCAGGAATGTAAAAGCATCACTTATATTTTCATACGGACTTACAATTTACAGAGCAGCCACAGTGTCATCCCTCTTTTACCGAGAAGGGAAACTGCCACACAGCCTCTAAGTGGCAGGATTCAAACTCAAGTTCCCCTTAACATCCTAGAAATCAAGGGAGAATAGTGAAAATATGAAAGTTGAAAACAGTATCAAAGGCTGAGATGTCAAAGACCATGAGGACCTAAGACGGATCCAGGTCACGGAGGAAGAGTTCCGACAGCGGATGGGAGGCTACAGAAGCAAAGATTAGGCAGAAAGTGCAAGAGAAGACAAACCACCTGGCTTCAAAAAGGAGAGATGCAGTTTTTCCTGGCAGTACTGTTGGGGAACTGTGCATCTCTAAAGGCAGAAGGGAAAGATCAAGTGGAGATGTCACTCCAGCTCTCACCACCGCCAGCCGGAACAATTTCAACGGTTCCTAACCAGCTCCCCGCCTACTCCCTCCCATCCTTTCTCGACAGTGTGCCAGGAGGCATTCTAAACTCTGGTAATGTCATGCCTCTGCTTAAACCCTTCAATGGCTCTGCATTTGCCTACAGAATACATCCCAAACTCCTGTGCATGACATCAGAAGCCCTTTCCAGGCTGGCCCCAACCTTCCTTTCCAGCATCACCTCCCACCTTTCTCCATACACCCAGGTGTCCGGGGAATGGAAAAAGGCGCTGGAGAAGTGGGAAAAAAGGGCCCTCCAGAACCAGCAGTATTTATTTATTTATTTATTTATTTATTTATTTTTTGCAGTTTTCAAAGCTTTTTTTTTTTATTCAGTTATTGATAGGTTACAATCTTGTGAAATTTCAATTGTACATTAATGTTTGTCAGTTATGTTGTAGGTGCACCACTTCACCCTTTGTGCCCACCCCCACCCCACCTTTCCCCTGGTATCCACTAAACTGTTCTTAGTCCATAATTTTAAATTCCTCATATGAGTGGAGTCATATACAGATTATCTTTCTCTCGCTGGCTTATTTCACTTAATTCTCTCAAGGTCTCTTAATTCACATAATTCTCTCAAGGTCCATCCATGTTATTGCAAATGGAATGATTTTGTTCTGTTTTGCAGCTGAGTAGTATTCCATTGTATATATGTACCACATCTTCCTTATCCATTCGTCTGTTGCTGGACACTTAGGCTGCTTCCACGTCTTGGCTATTGTAAACAGTGCTGCAATAAACATTGGGGTGCATAAGACTTTTGGGATTGCTGACTTCAAGCTCTTTGGATAAATACCCAGTAGTGGGATGGCTGGATCGTATGGTAGTTCTATTTTTAATTTTTTGAGGAATCTCCATACTGTTTTCCATAGTGGCTGCACCAGTTTGCATTCCCACCAGCAGTGTATGAGGGTTCCTTTTTCTCCGCAACCTCTCCAACATTTGTTGCTATTAGTTTTAGATATTCTTGTCATTCTAACGGGTGTAAGGTGATATCTTAGTGTAGTTTTGATTTGCATTTCCCTGATGATCAGCGATGATAAGCATCTTTTCATGTGCCTATTGGCCATCAGTATATCTTCCTTGGAGAAATGTCTGTTCATGTCTCCAGCCCATTTTTTGATTGGGTTGTTTGATGTATTGTTGTTGAGTTGCAAGAGTTCTTTATATATTATGGATATTAAGCCTTTGTCAGATATATGACTTGCAAATATTTTTTCCCAGTTAGTGGGTTGTTTTTTTGTTTCAATCCTGTTTTCATTTGCCTTGAAGAAGCTCTTTCATCTGATGAAGTCCCATTTGTTTATTCTTTCTATTGTTTCCCTTCTCTGAGAAGGCATGGTGTCCGATAAGATCCTTTTAATACTGATGTCAAAGAGTGTACTGCCTACATTTTCTTCCAGAAGACTTATGGTTTCAGGTCTCACCTTTAGGTCTTTAATCCATTTTGAGTTTATTTTGGTGAATGGTGAAAAAGAATGGTCAATTTTCATTGTTTTACATGTGGCTTTCCAGTTTTCCCAGCACCATTTGTTGAAAAGACTTTCTTTTCTCCATTGTATGCCCTCAGCTCCTTTGTCAAAGATAAGCTGTGCATAAATGTGTGGTTTTATTTCTGGGCTTTCAATTCTGTTCCATTGATCTGTGCACCTGTTTTTGTACCAGTACCATGCTGGAACCAGCAGTATTTCTTAACACTTTTTGTACACATATTACTCCTGTTGCCTGAACTGTCCTTTCCTCCTCCTTGTCCATCAGGAAAACTCAAATGACACCTCTTCTGTGAGGACTTTCCCCCATGGTTAGACGCAAAGTATTTCAAATATCCTTGTTCCGACACTCCACGCACTGCACGGTGATGAACAATTTTTCCATGTGTCGACCACGGCCTTCTTCTTTGCAGGTCCAGCCCCTCGCACAGACCCCTATCCAAGCTGGACATCTGCTGAGTGAGGAGGCAGGAATCGGGATGACACGTGACAGCTCTGCCGCCCGAGAGCTGGGACACACAGTGGTTTCTGGTGTCTGGGCTGTGTCCCCCTGCAGAGCTCCTCAAGTGGAGGATCCTGCCCTCTTCATCTCCCCACCCTTCACATCTCACTCCGGGCCAGGACAGAGCAGGCGCTCAGAGGGCAGGCAGCAGCAGAAGGAACCCTGGCCTTGAAGACAGACTGATCTGGACAAGCTGTGTGGCCCTGGTCAAGTTCTTTAACCTTTCCGAGTCTCATTTTCCTAGCGCCCAAACATAGCAGGTGCTCCAATGTTTATTAATCGCTATGTAAACATTCGCTAACAGATATGAAAAACACTACTACCTACTTCCCGAGACTCTGAAGCTTATGGGAGGGCCTACAGGTCAAATATTGAGAATCACATATCATCAACTATGTTACAGCATAAAGGCTCAAATTTTCCCTTTCATTCTTCCTTCCCTAAATTAAATGCAGAAATTTACACATCATACTGAAAACTGAATAGAAGGTAGGTGAAGAGGCTCATACTAGACACATTTAACCTTTTCTATGGAGTACAAGATCATCAGCTACCACTAGAATTTGAGAAAACCTCTCAGACAACTGTCCTCAAGGTAACAGGGAACAAACAATGAGCTGACCAGAGGGAACCTCTAGCGATTGCAACGTGCCCAGACTAGCTATGGTCTGCATGTGTCCCCCTAAGATCCCTACGTTGAGATCTGACCCCAAGGTGATGGTACTGGGTGGGTCCTTCGGGAAGTGATGAGGTCATAAAAGTGGAGCCCTTATGAACAGGATTAGTGCCACTACAGAAGAGGCCCCAAGAAGTCCCTTGCCTGCTTCTGCCATGTGAGGACACAGAGACATCTGCAGCCCAGAAGAGGGCTCTCACCCAACCCTGCTGGCACCCTGATCTCAGACTTCCGGCCTCCAGAACCGTGAGAAATAAGTTTCTGCCGTTTCTAAGCAGCCCAGTCTGTGCCATTTTGTTACAGCAGCCAGAACAGACTAAGACAAACGTCTTCCCCTCGGAATATTTTGTGACCTGGCCCAGAGACCTCTGTGCTGAGGCTGGGGGGCACCAGACACAAAACCAAGCGTGTACCCTCAAAGCTGACAGAGCAAATGCAGAAGAGCAGGTGGATGGGTGTGTAGAGGGTAGGAGAGTGGTGGGGGACCTCTGAAGGACCGAGGGAGAGAGCATGCTGACTTGGGAGTGCCCCTCAACTGTGCCCGCTGACAGGACTTAGGACTTAGACAAACAAGTTCACACACGACTGCAAAGCAAGAAGGGCAGAGGTGCACACTGAGGGCAAGGCAAGAGAACAAAGCACTGTGCCTTGTTCTCAGACTAACTGATACGCTCTGGGGAGGGCCCTTCGCAGCACTAGAGATGGACGGTTAGGATCACCAAGAGCAACATCCTCCTAGTCTATCCTCACTCAACACCAGTGATCTTTCAAAAATGCAAATCTGCCTTCCCTGTGTATAGAAGCCTGCACAAACTCTCTAATGGCTTAGACTCTTCCAAGCCTTTCTCTAAGAGTGTGCCAGGAGGCGTTCTAAACTCTGGTTATGTCACACCTCTGCTTAAAACCCTTCAATGGCTCTGCATTTGCCTACGGAATGCATCCCAAACTCCTGAGCATGACATCGGAAGCCCTTCCCAGGCTGGCCCCCAACCTTCCCTTCCAGCATCACCTCCCACCTTTCTCCATCCAAATTCCCTCAGCTAACAAAACCCCGCTGCTATCTGCCCCTACCTAGCTCTCCAGCCTCCATTCTGGGCTCTCTGCTCCACCATGCCACATTGTGAGGTAGTCTTGTGACGTCCTCGGCGCTCCCACCAGACTGTGTGCTCCCTAGAAGCCATCGCATGGCTCCACAACCCAACAGCTGGATTCACACGCAATAACCCTCCAGTGCTCACTGACTGAAAGCAAGGCACTGCTGGGACCCCAAGGCTTCTGAGACTGGACCAGACTACAGTGATCCCCAGTTAACCGTTAAATGGATTTTTGCAAAACAAGGCCCCTTAGGCCTAAATGAAAGAAAGGCAGGCCCAGGACAGGACTAGACCCACTGGATCAGAGGCCACACCCTCAAAGCTTGAGTTCCTGGTCTGCCGCACAGCCTGAGCCAGGAAGGCAGCACACCTGAAACACTAAGCAAGATTCATTTCCTGCCCCTTCTGTTTGTTCTGTTTTTGAGGAAGATTAGCCCTGAGCTAACATCTACTGCCAATCCTCCTCTTTTTTGCTGAGGAAGACTGGCCCTGAGCTAACACCCACGCCCATCTTCCTCTACTTTATATGTGGGACGCCTACCACAGCATGGCTTGACAAGCCGTGCCAAGTCTGCATCCGGGATCTGAACCAGTGAGCTCTGGGCTGCTGAAGCAGAACGTGGGAACTTAAGCACTGCACCACCCGGCTGGCCCCCTTGTCCCTTCTGATACCAGGCTTCACTCTGTCTGTAATCGCCATGGAAGTTAAATGTAATCAATTGATATTATTTTATACTGTATCCACCACCCGGCTGGCCCCCTTGTCCCTTCTGATACCAGGCTTCACTCTATCTGTAATCGTCATGGAAGTTAAATGTAATCAATTGATATTATTTTATACTGTATCCAAATCCACTGAAATTGTAGCAAGAAGGATTAATGACAAGAGTAAATCATATGAGCAAAGCCCCACATTTACCTGATTTACATCTGAGTCATATTCAGTATTCTTATGCCAAAGACAAAGCTTTTCAACTCACCATTAAATTAAAAAAAAACAATCCGTGTGCCCATGCAAGGGTTCTAGCTGTGAGGTCCACATGGAAAACACCCGGAGCACTTCTCCAAAGGGTCCCCAGGACAAACAGCCAAATACAGCCCCATTTCTCAGTTCTACCTAAGACACCACTGAGCCAGGGCTTAAAGACAAACTCACTTTCCTTAGGGCCTGTGTTTATTGCTTTTGTAAAATAACTTTATGTAGGGGCAGCCCATCTCACCCAAATAAGACCCTTCCTCCTCTCCCCACATGCAGAACTTCGCACCTTTTAAGGCCCAGAGCTCCAGCATCTAGAATGCAAACTCCAAGAGGGCAGTGATCTCTGCTGTGTTACCGGAGGACCCCAGGCAAGTACAACACTGCCTGGCACAGACTGCCCTCAGTAAACACTGTTCAAAACCCGACTCATGAGTGGACGAAGCTCACACAGGATGGCCGGGTCACCAGCTAGTGCCTGCGCTCCTCTCTCTAATGGGGAAACAGCAGACTACAAGAGACTCAACTGTATTTGCTTCTGTTTCCAACAGCCTCATGCTCTACTTTCCCTTACACAAAAAAGATGGGGGAAAAAAATTTTTTTAAAGGGAGACTTAGTTCTTTTTTTTTTTAAAGGTATGATTTTTGGTGAGGCAGACTGGCCCTGAGCTAACGTTTGTTGCCAATCTTCCTCTTTTTTTTTTCTCCCCAAAGCCCCACTACATAGTTGTATATCCTAGCTGTAGGTCCTTCTAGTTGTTTTATGTGGGATGCTGCCACAGCACGGCTTGATGAGCAGTGCACAGGTCCATGCCCAGGATCCGAACCAGTGAACCCTGGGCCACTGAAATGCAGCCCGTGAACTTAACCACTTTGCCACTGGGCCAGCCCCAAGCTAGGAAAATTTTACTAATCCTTTTCTTTAAAAAGTGAATATAAAATGAACGAGTGGCTGGAATGTACCTCTGTTAAGCACGCCTGCATCTGCTCCCAAATACTTATGAAACCCTTCCGTGTGTTTCCATTGGGTAATTAAATGTCCACCCTCCAAAACAAACCCTGCCCCACAAAGCAAAACCCCCACATGCTGGAAACCATAACTCTAGTGAAAAGCCACAGCAAGAACCAAACTCTTTTTTTTTTTTAAAGATTGGCATCTGAGCTAACAAGTGTTGCCAATCTTCTTTTTCTTTTTTTTCCTGCTTTATCTCCTCAAACCCCCCGTACATAGTTGTATATCTTAGTTGCAGGCCCTTCTAGTTGTGGGATGTGGGACGGCGCTTCAACATGGCCTGACCAGCGGTGCCACGTCCGCGCCCAGGATCTGATGGGCCGCCGCAGGGGAGCACGCAAACCCAACCACTCAGCCACAGGGCTGGCCCCAAGAACCAAATTCTTATTCTTGGCTCTACAATTCAAAGTGGCTTGAAGTGCAAGGGCACAATTCCCTAAATTTACAACCAAAACAGACAGACACAGCTTCTGTGTCTCTGAGCATGCAGCCCACCCTCTACTGCAGAGATTCTCCAACCCGCCTGCACGTTGCAATGACCTGAGGCACATTCAGGAACCCGGAAGCCCAGACCACACCCAGCCCAACCACATCAGGCTGGGAGGCAGGCACAAGCATTTTAAACCTTTCCAAGCAGTGCCAAAGTGCGGCCAAGTCTGAAAACTACCTCGCTGCGGAACTTCAGGACACCCCTGGCCAACCGCTTGGTTTCCCAGGTTTGTGAAGATCCCTTAGGAAGACCCCAGCGATCTTACAGCACATGATTTTTTTAGCCTCCGTCCACCAAAATCCCCATCCCCAACCAACATCGCAAGCCACGTGGAAGGGGCTTCACTGGGTGGGAAGCGTTGCAGCCACCTACCTTAAGGCTGCAGGCTCCCTCCTCTAGAGAAGCCATCTCTTCTAGCGAGGGGTTGGCAGGGCCCAGACGGGACTCCCTGGACGAAAGGAACCCCTGTGCGCTCCGACTCAGGCAGCCTCTGGAGGCAGCCCCGCCCACACCTGGGCCAGACGACTGGGAAGAGGAGGAGGAGGAATTCCTGTGGCGGGATGAGCCCCGGGACAGCCGCAGCGTGCAGGCCACATCGTCGTCCTCCTGGGCTTTCAGGCGCTTGGGGCTGCTGGCCCCTCCTGACCGCGACGCAGAGCTGCGAGCGGGCCGGCTGGAGGGGGCCACATGGCCGGGCTCCCGGGGGCGGCTGCGCTTGCGGGGACACCCTCCCGAAGTGCTACTCCAGTGGTACTTGACCTTGCGCCGCTCCGACGCCATGGGCACCTGCAAGGTAAAGAGGGCCCGGATTCCACCACCACTCCTCCTGGCTGCCCGTCCTCAGACCCCCGCTACCCCGGGCCCCCTGGGCGGGGACGGGCGAGCCAGAAGGTCAGAGCCAGGGGCTGGCCTCACTGACCTTTCCCCCTTCTTTCCACTGCCCATCACAGTTCTCAAGGTTTCAGAGATGCCAAAGCGCTTCGACTGTTTGCGATCCCAAAGCGCTTCGGAGAAGTCCCAACGACCCCAGTGGGTCTGCCAAGGGCTTCGGTCCGGCTTTCACGCCCACAGCGCGCTTCCGCGATCACCGAGCACAGCGCTCCTTCCGAGATGTCAAAGCGCTTCCGGGACTACGAAGCGCTTCCATCGAGTGTGCAACACAAAGCCCTTCCGAGACGCCAGAGCGCTCCGAGGGACCGCGCGGCGCCTCACGGGCCGCACATGGCGGCCGCAAGCCAGGGCCGCACCGGCGCGCCGCCCGGCTGCTCCCGCGGCCCCGCCGCCCCGCCCCGGCCGGAAGGGGCCCGAGTCGCCCCTCAGGGCGCGCCCGCCCAGCGGCCGCTGCCGCCGCGGCCTGGATGGCGGCTCCGCCCCCCCCCGCGGCCCGGCCGCCCGCTCGCCGCCCGCCCCAGTCCCGCAGCCCTGGCCCGGCCTCCGCCCGAACTCCGACCACACTGGCCTCCGCCGCGCCCGCCTCCCGGAACCAGCCCTGCGGCCCGCAGCCCAGCGTGCGGCAGGGGCGGGCCCTACGCCGAACGGAGGGCGCCCATTGCTCAAATCGGCCAGGGGCGGGACCCCGAGCAAGACGGAGCTCGCCTATTGGCCAGGAGGCTTGGAGGCGGGACCCTACGCCTTACGAAGCTCGTCCATTGGTCGGAAGCTGGGCGGGGCGTCTCACATGGGCCCGAAGAGCGCGAAGCCGAGGCAGAGCCGCAGTTCCTCGAGCCGCGGGTTGTGCGGGTGCAGGCCCGCTGGCTGACCCGGGGCCCCGAGGGCCGCTCCCTGCCGCTCAGCGCTGCCCTCCTTCGCTGGACGCTTTCAGCTCCGGATAATCTCATCGCACCCACGCCAACCTAATCACCCCATTTACGGGGCAGGAAACTGTGGCTCAGAGAGGCCAAGTGACACATCCGGAAAGTGGCAGAATTGGAATTAGAAGTTAGAAGCCCCGAAAAAAAAAGGAGACTACACAAAAATGTAAAATATCCGCCCAGCAAATATATCAAAGTCAAAAGACAAGGTACAAACTTAGAAAAGTATTTGCAACACATGACAGAGGGCTGATGTCCTTACTATGTAAAAACTCTCTCAGTAAGATAATTCAGTATTAAAATAGGCAAAGGAAATGAACCAATGCACAGAAATTATGCAAGGCTCTTTAACGTATGAAAAGATGGCTCCACCTCATTTAAAAAATAGAAATAAAATTAAGTTTTCACCTGTTAGATTGGCAGTGATCAAAAAGCATGATAATCTCTCTAGCTGAGGATGTGATGAAATGCACTCCCATACATCACTGATGGACATGTAAACTGGTACAACCTCCTTGAAAGGCAGCACTGTTTGTAGGACCGAGAATGAAAACACCCTCAGTACCCAGCAAGCGAAGCTAGTTGTATAAATTAGGGAACATCCATACAATAGAATACCAGGTAAAAAGTACTGTTGAGGAAGAAAGGCCAAGACAGACATGAAAAAACACAGGATCCAGAACAGCGTGAATGAAATACCCTGCGGCTAGCAAATATTAATAATAATAATAATAATAAAGGAGAGAGGAGTGGGGTCTCAAGATAAAAGAAAATTTTTTAGTGCCTGAGAATTACCACTGCGTATTTCTGTTTCTAAGTTTATTGAGACATAATTTACATATCATAAAATTCACCCATATATAATTCAATGGGTTTTTAGTATTCAAAATGGTTTTTTAGTATATAATTCCATGATTTTTTAGTATAGTTAGAGTTGTGTAACCATCACCAAACCTTAATCTAATTTTAGAACATTTTCATCACCCCAAAATCTTGTGACCATTACCACTCTTCCTCTTCCCCCAATCCCCCCACACACATTCATAGTTTCTGTCTCTATAGATTTCCCTGTTCTGGACATTTCACAAAAATGGAATCATACAATATTTGATTGGCTTCTTTTACTTGGTATAATCTTTTCAAAGTTCATCAGTGCTGTAGCATGCATGTGTCAGTACTTCATTCTTTTTATGGCTAAATAATATTCCATTGTAGGGATTTAGCACATTCTGTTTATCCATTCATCCACTGATGGACACTTGGGTTGTTTCTACTTTTTGGCTATTCCGAATATTGCTGCTATGACCACTGGTACACAGGTTTTTGTATGGATATGTGTTTTCATTTCTCTTAGGCAGATATGTAGGAGTGGGAATTCCTGGGTCATACGGAAACTATGTTTAACCTTTTGAGGAACTGCCAGACTGTTTTCCAAAGTGGTTCACCATCGTACAATCCCACCAGCAATGTGAGAAGTTTCCAGTGTCTCCATATCCTTGCCAACACTTGTTGATGTCTTTTTATTTTAGCCATCCGAGGAGGTATGAAGTTGTATCTCATTGTGCCTTTGACTTACATTTCACTAATGACTAACGAAGTTGAGCAACCAGATAAAAAATTTTTTATCATCTCTAGAAGGATACCCCAAATTAGTAACAGTGTTGCTTCTGGGGAGAAGAAAGGAGACACTAGGATCCCAGTGGGAGAAAGGCTTCCTTTCTACCATGTAATCTTTTGTACTGTTTGGATTTTTGGGTCATGTGCATCTATTAACTTAAAAAAAAAGAAAGGCCAACCTCTAGAGATTCATGGGAAGACATCGCCGTGCCCATGAACCCCTGGAATTCATATATGGAATTTATATCTATGGAATATTTACAGCTTGCTGAGAAGAGAAGGCCCGTAGCTTTCATCAGATTCTCCAAGTGGTTCATTGGTCTCTTATGAAATATATGAAGCCCTCGTCTGCAAATGCAAGCATGTCTGGATAACCAGTACCCAATTGGCATCAGCCTTCTACTGCTCCAACAGCCCTGGAAACACCCTGCTCATAATTGTCAGGTGCTTACCACGTGCCAGGTCCTGTTTGGGACACATGACACACACTCTAGTTGAATCCTCACAGTGACCAGAGCTTAGACAGGGGTGTCAGTACAGAGCACTGTCCACTGGGGCTGGAGCCCATTAGGCTTTGTTACACATCAGTACAAAGCTGACCTTGCCGAAGGGCTGTTGAATGCTTTCATCAGGCAGGATCTGCCCCTTGCCCAGACAACAACCTATGAAACAGGTACTTTTTATTCTCCCCATTGCGTAGATGAAGAAACAGAGGCTCAGAGTAACTCCCTAACTTGGCCCAAGATCCTGCAGCTATTAACAGCCAACATTTACAGCCAGTGCCCAATCTCTGCACCCCACGATACCCCTCTCACGGATGCAGAGCACCTTCTCCAAACAAATTCATCCGGACACAAAACTAATTACAAGATCTCTCTTGGTTTTACCAACATATTTTTATTTTACAAAAAGAAAGAAGACAAAATCACTATCGTAGGATTAAAATAGGACACACAATTTAAAATAGCATTTGTTTCATAAAAAGATTTGCAACATGACTTTTCAGAAATATACCCACTGCATAAACATTAGGTACATGGCAGAAATATATGCTTATTTATTAATTTATTTTATAATACAGGACAAGTGCATTTTCCAGGTACTTCTGTAGCCATGTCTTACCTGTTCTTCCCAACTGCCCAGGGCGGGAGAATGAACAGGTGTTACTAACGAAGAAACTGAGGTTCCAGAAATAAAATGATTGACTTAATTAGCAGCAGAATCAGGCATGAAACTCGTTCTCCTGATTCTTCATCCAGCCATAAATAACACACATTCTCAAAACAAAAACCCCCATTGAACATATCAGCATCAGTGGGATGGGAGGATAAAGGCACAGAATGGGCATTAAATAAATATCGGTGGGCTGCAAGATTTCCAGTAGAGAGAACAGAAAACTTACAGAGACCCTTGCCAGGTGTCTGGCATTTGTAAAACCTGAGAGCTTGAGAGGTGAGTCAAGAAATGCATTGGGACACAAGTTGAAAATCTTTCAGGTCACAGAAGTTTGCAGGTGGTTGTTGGCAAATATAACCCAGAGATCTTAACTTCAGAAAGTGCTGTGAGCGTTCAGAATGCTCTGTCAGTTGTCAAGCAGAGAGAGCTGGGTAACAACATCTGCTGGGGTGGTTATTGTCACACGCTCCCCGGAACCACAAAATCACCCACATCCTGGGCCCGAATTTCCGCTTCAGTCTCCTGGTGACCAGCTCTGACGGACAAATCCCAGAAAGGATAAGGATTTCCTGGATTTTGGTGTCTCTGACAGCTGACGTCCCTTCTCCCCTACCTCACACTGGTAAAATGGAAGCTTCTCTCCGTCCTGGGAAAGCTGATGTTTGGTTTCTGTGTTTCCTAGGAGATTTTAATTCGCCTCAGATCTTTTTCTTGATTTGACGGGTGTCCTTCCAACTGAGGACAAGTGTTCTGTGTTCTGGTTATCAGAGGCCAAGAAGCTCAATGCTGTCCAGTTTCTTCTCTTTGTAGAGCAGGATATTCTGCATCAGTTTCCTTTTGGCCTCATTGATCTCAATTTTCCATGAAGTCTCTGTAGCTGACGTTCAATGGAAAGTAAAAAACAACACAACTTGAACAAAAGGCATTTGGAAATAGTTACTGTTATTCTAATTCTTAGAAAGTCACACTTGGTCAGAGTTATCCCCTTGAATTAGGTCTCTGCGTCAGGCCCAAGTGGAACGAGCATTTTCACTGCTTCTGCCTTTGCAGGGAAGCCCAGCCACCTGCCCACCTTTCAGAGCGGAGGGCTTCCATGTTCCTCCCCACGGGGCGAGGAGGGTTTAGAGTTAATGCCTATACCCTCTCTCTCTCCCTGTCTCCTCCCCATTGGCGGGGAGCAACCTGGGACATTCATTAAGCCACATGTACTAGGGGACAGGGACACTGCATTGAAAAGGGCTTCAGAAGTTTTATTTCAGAAGGAAGCCTGGTATATTTGGACCCAAGAGGCAGAGATAGAAGGTATCTTCAGAAGCAGCTGGCAAGGATGGGCTGGCATTGTGAAGTGAGGATGGAGAGGAGAGCAGGGGCAGTCCACACGGGGCCTTGATGATCCGGAGGGAGAGTTCTGACTTGGTCTCTAAGTGCAGTGGGGAACCGTATAAGGGTTTTAAACA